TATTCAGCAAAATATTCCCGCTCCCTTGTGTATTCAGCAAAATATTTCCGCTCCCTTGTGTATTCAGCAAAATATTTCCGCTCCCTTGTGTATTTAGTTGGATTATCCCGCTCCCTTGTGTATTCAGCAACATATTTACACTCTCTTCTGTATTCAGTAACATTATCCCGCTCCCTTGTGTATTCAGCAACATATTCCACCTCTCTTGTGTATTCAGCAAAAAAAATTCCGCTCCCTTGTGTATTTAGTAGCATTATCCCGCTCCCTTGTGTATTTAGTATCATAGTTCCGCTCCCTTGTGTATTCAGTAACATTATCCCGCTCCCTTGTGTATTCAGAAACATATTCCCACTCTCTTGTGTGTTCAGCAACATGTTCCCGATCCCTTGAATATTCAGCAACATATTTCCACTCGCTTGTGTATTCAGGAACATTATCCCGCTCCCTTGTGTATTCAGCAACATATTGCCGATCCCTTGTGAATTCAGCAACATATTTCCACTCACTTGTGTATTCAGCAACATTACCCCACTCCCATGTGTATTCAGCAACATATTTCCACTCCCTTGTGTATTCTGTAACATATTTCCACTCCCTTGTATATTCTGTAACGTATTCCCACTCCCTTGTGTATTCAGCAACATATTTCCGCTCCCTTGTGTATTCAGCAACATTACCCCACTTCCTTGTGTATTCAGCAACATATTCCCACTCCATTGTCTATTCAGCAACATATTCCCACTCCCTTGTGTATTCAGCAACATATGCGCAATCTCTTGTGTATTCAGCAACATATTTCCACTCCCTTGTGTATTCAGGAACATATTTCCACTCGCTTGTATATTCAGCAACATATTCACACTCTCTTGTGTATTCAGTAGCATTATCCCGCTCCCTTGTGTATTCAGCAAAATATTCCCGCTCCCTTGTATATTCAGCAAAATATTTCCGCTCCCTTCTGTATTTAGTTGGATTATCCCGCTCCCTTGTGTATTCAGCAACATATTTCCACTCTCTTCTGGATTCAGTAACATTATCCCGCTCCCTTGTGTATTCAGCAACATATTCCAGCTCTCTTGTGTATTCAGCAAAATATTTCCGCTCCCTTGTGTATTTAGTAGCATTATCCCGCTCCCTTGTGTATTTAGTATCATAGTTCCGCTCCCTTGTGTATTCAGTAACATTATCCCGCTCCCTTGTGTATTCAGAAACATATTCCCACTCTCTTGTGTGTTCAGCAACATGTTCCCGATCCCTTGAATATTCAGCAACATATTTCCACTCGCTTGTGTATTCAGGAACATTATCCCGCTCCCTTGTGTATTCAGAAACATATTCCCGCTCCCTTTTGCATTCAGCAACACATTTCCGCTCCCTTGTGTATTCGGGAACATATTCCCGCTCCCTTGTGTATTCAGCAACATATTTCCGCTCCCTTGTCTATTCAATAAACGTATTTCTACTCCCATGTGTATTCAGCAACATATTCCCATTCCTTTATTTATTCAGCAACATGTTCCCGCTCCCTTGTGTATTCAGCAACATATTCCAGCTCCCTTGTGTATTAAGCAAAATATTTCCGCTCCCTTGTGTATTTAGTAGCATTATCCCGCTCCCTTGTGTATTCAGCAACATATTCCCGATCCCTTGTGTATTTAGGAACATATTCCCGCCCTTTGTGTATTCAGTAACATATTTCCGCTCCCTTGAGTATTCAGTAACATTATCCAGCTCCCTTGTATATTCAGCAACATATTTCCACTCCCTTGTGTATTCAGTAACATTTTTCCGCTCCCTTGAGCATTCAGTAACATTATCCCGCTCCCTTGTGTATTCAGCAACATATTTCCACTCCCTTGTCTATTCAGCAACATATTTCCACTCTTTGTGTATTCAGCAACATTACCCCACTCCCTTGTATATTCAGCAACATATTCCCACTCCCTTGTCTATTCAGCAACATATTTCCACTCCCATGTGTATTCAGCAACATATGCGCAATCTCTTGTGTATTCAGGAACATATTCCCGCTCCCTTGTGTATTCAGCAACATATTTCCACTCCCTTGTATATTCTGTAACATATTTCCACTCCCTTGTGTATTCAGCAACATATTTCCAGGCCCTTGTGTATTCAGCTACATATTTCCACTCCCTTGTGTATTCAGCAAAATATTTCTACTCCTTTGTGTATTCAGCAACATATTACCACTCGCTTGTGTATTCAGTAGCATTATCCCGATCCCTTGTGTATTCAGCAAAATATTCCCGCTCCCTTGTGTATTCAGCAAAATATTTCCGCTCCCTTGTGTATTTAGTAGCAATATCCCGCTCCCTTGTGTATTCAGCAACATATTCCTGATCCCTTGTGTATTTAGGAACATATTCCCGCCCTTTGTGTATTCAGTAACATATTTCCGCTCCCTTCAGTATTCAGTAACATTATCCAGCTCCCTTGTATATTCAGCAACATATTTCCACTCCCTTGTGTATTCAGCAACATATTTCCGCTCCCTTGTGTATTCAGGAACATATTCTCGCTTTTTGTGTATTCAGTAACATATTTCCGCTCCCTTGAGTATTCAGCAACATATTTCCGATCCCTTGTGAATTCAGCAACATATTTCCACTCACTTGTGTATTCAGCAACATTACCCCACTCCCATGTGAATTCAGCAACATATTTCCACTCCCTTGTGTATTCTGTAACATATTTCCACTCCCTTGTATATTCTGTAACGTATTCCCGCTCCCTTGTGTATTCAGCAACATATTTCCGCTCCCTTGTGTATTCAGCAACATTACCCCACTTCCTTGTGTATTCAGCAACATATTCCCACTCCCTTGTCTATTCAGCAACATATTTCCACTCCCTTGTGTATTCAGCAACATATGCGCAATCTCTTGTGTATTCAGCAACATATTTCCACTCCCTTGTGTATTCAGGAACATATTTCCGCTCGCTTGTGTATTCAGCAACATATTCACACTCTCTTGTGTATTCAGTAGCATTATCCCGCTCCCTTGTGTATTCAGCAAAATATTTTTCCCGCTCCCTTGTATATTCAGCAAAATATTTCCGCTCCCTTGTGTATTTAGTTGGATTATCCCGCTCCCTTGTGTATTCAGAAACATATTCCCACTCTCTTGTGTGTTCAGTAACATATTCCCGCTCCCGTGTGTATCCAGCATCATTTGTCCACTCCCTTGTATATTCTGTAACATATTCCCGCTCCCTTGTGTATTCAGCATCATTTGTCCACTCCCTTGTATATTCTGTAACATATTCCCGCTCCCTTGTGTATCCAGCATCATTTGTCCACTCCCTTGTATATTCTGTAACATATTCCCGCTCCCGTGTGTATCCAGCATCATTTGTCCACTCCCTTGTATATTCTGTAACATATTCCCGCTCCCTTGTGTATTCAGCATCATTTGTCCACTCCCTTGTATATTCTGTAACATATTCCCGCTCCCGTGTGTATCCAGCATCATTTGTCCACTCCCTTGTATATTCTGTAACATATTCCCGCTCCCGTGTGTATTCAGCATCATTTGTCCACTCCCTTGTCTATTCTGTAACATATTCCCGCTCCCTTGTGTATTCAGCATCATATTTCCACTCCCTTGTCTATTCACTAAACGTATGTCTACTCCCATGTGTATTCAGCAACATATCCTTTCCTTTGTTTATTCAGCAACATGTTCCCGATCCCTTGAGTATTCAGCAACATATTTCCACTCGCTTCTGTATTCAGGAACATTATCCCGCTCCCTTGTGTATTCAGCAACATATTCCCGCTCCTTTTTGCATTCAGCAACACATTTCCGCTCCCTTGTGTATTCAGGAACATATTCCTGCTCCCTTGTGTATTCAGCAACACATTTCCGCTCCCTTGTGTATTCGAGAACATATTCCCGCTCCCTTGTGTATTCAGCAACATATTTCCGCTCCCTTGTCTATTCAATAAACGTATTTCTACTCCCATGTGTATTCAGCAACATATTCCCATTCCTTTATTTATTCAGCAACATAGTCCCGCTCCCTTGTGTATTCAGCAACATATTCCAGCTCCCTTGTGTATTTAGCAAAATATTTCCGCTCCCTTGTGTATTTAGTAGCAATATCCCGCTCCCTTGTGTATTCAGCAACATATTCCTGATCCCTTGTGTATTTAGGAACATATTCCCGCCCTTTGTGTATTCAGTAACATATTTCCGCTCCCTTCAGTATTCAGTAACATTATCCAGCTCCCTTGTATATTCAGCAACATATTTCCACTCCCTTGTGTATTCAGCAACATATTTCCGCTCCCTTGTGTATTCAGGAACATATTCTCGCTTTTTGTGTATTCAGTAACATATTTCCGCTCCCTTGAGTATTCAGTAACATTATCCCGCTCCCTTGTGTATTCAGCGTCATACTTCCACTCCCTTGTGTATTCAGCAACATATTTTCCACTGTTAGTTCTATAACATCGTCATGCTTGATCGGATATGTTTTCGAACAGTTTGTAACAACTCGTGGAAGAGAACGGACATTAATGCGTTTAGTGATTGATTGCGCAGATCTCACTGGGCAGATCTCATCAGGCGTATTTCCTGGTGACCTTTGCGACGTTTATTTAACAGTTTAAGAACTGAAGAAACTGGAAATGAATGGAATTGGAAAGGGGAGGCGAACGTAGTAGTGTAGCTTACTCTTGTCAAAACCCTCTGTTTAACAAACAGGAGTTGCTATTCTATGACTATTTTATGATTAATCTCATCTCCAAACCTCCAAACTCGGTTATAGTACATAAGGGGGCGGTCGGGGAGCCTAGTGGTTAAAGCGTTCGCTCGTCACGCCGAAGATTCGGGTTCGATTCCCGACATGGGTACAATGTGTGAGGCTCTTTTCTGGTGTCCCCCGCCATGATATTGCTGCAATATTGCTAAAAGCGGCGTAAAGCCATACTCCATCCCTAGTACATAAGGTAAAAATGAAAACAAAACAATTAGTGAACCAAGCATTAACACTGGACTTATTTATTTGCTTATTGTTGATGAATCTGTTGAGGAACTATAACACATATTATTGGGACAATTGCGTGGATCAATGCTCATGATGTCAATCACTGGATTGTCTGGTCCAGACTCGATTATTTGCAGACCGCCGTCATATAGCTGGAATTTTGCTGAGTGTGGCGTTAAACAACAAACAAAAAACTTGTTTTTGTAATAAGCTCAACTCCAAAAGAAACGTGAAGTTTTCTTTGAGAATTTGAAGTGGTTAAAGTAACATGCAATAGAAATGAAATCTTTGTTCACTGCCTCCTCTTCTGCCAATTCTTATTATATTGTGCCCATATCTGAGTGCGGTAATGACGCCGAGTTGAACGGTGGACCCCTTAATGTCGACCGCAGTGTAGATGGTACCTCGCAACCTAGGTCAAACTGTTTAACGCTAATTGGTCTGTTGTGAGTCCCATACGGGCAGTTGTGGTTGTACATCTATCGCGTAGGTGTGACGTCACCATCACATCGTACCGATCTTGTCTGCGGAACACCACTCTCAGTCGGCCGCTTCGTGGACGATCACCTGCACTGTTGGTCAACTGATTATGTTCCTGAAGCCTGGAAGTTGTGGAATGGCATCTCGTGGCATACTCCATCCAGCTACAGTGAGACAGAATGCCCTCGTCCGGTTTTCCCGTGTCAGACGGGACATGGTGTTTTTGTGTCAAACATAAAATCAAACTACAAAACCAACGGCTATTGTTTGAGACCAGCAGATAAGGTGTCAATAATTCAACTGACACGCTTTCAAACGTTCTGGTAATAAATAGTATTCCACGTTTTATGCATTTTCCATAGAAGTTCGTACAACTATTGCAAGTTACGTTTTGGTGAAAGTTATCATGTGAAATAAAATGAATTTTTGTCTAATAAAAATGGAATTCATTTTATAATTTTACATCCCTTCAGTTGAATGATAACACATATAAAAATAAAAAATTCGCCTCTTGGTGTTGAAAGGAGGGGACTGTCCTCCACTGCATAGAACCACTCCTATTTTCATTATGTACTATATTACCACTCCTGTCTGCATTCTGATATCTAAAAATGAAGTTTAGCAGGACATATCAACAAACTCGAGGTTAAACCTGAAGTGTTCCAGAAATTGAATCAGTTGGGCAAGTCTTACAGGTAGGGTAAGGTTTGCATCAAGTGGGTGGAAATTCAACAGAGCTTCTTTATTAGTAGCGAGGTCTATTGTCATGACAACGCGTACATCACATGCAGTTCTATGCATCAGAGCGAATGGCGTCAGACCGCCTAGTGAAACATGAAAGATGGCTGCCATTTCGTCTTTGGTCCCAAAGGAAAAATTTCTGTGAGCTTTCAGTTTGCACCGAAGCCTTTTCAAGTCAATATCATGATTTTCGTCACAGATAACCAAGTAATACTGACCTCTTCTATCTTTGAGAAATAAGTTCTTGCAGAAAACCTCACCTGCACAGTCGTGCCTGTGTGCCCGGGGTGCATATGGAACTGGTTGGGACGTAACACCAAACCCCACTAGCAAACTCATCAGATCCATGATACATTGTGGGGATACAGTATCGTCATAAACGGTATCCTTGTCCGCAATGTTGACAAAGGCAAAGTCTCCAAGGTTAGCGGTATGTTTACACAGAGCTGAGGAACCACCAGGAGGTTGAGTACCTATCATATTGTATCTCCCTTTGTGCCGCCCACAGCAAGGACTGCTGCCTCGGCGGTGCCGGGGCAAGCTAGGGGTTGCCATCTGCACTCCCTCACCTCTCATGACGCCCTCCGATATAGCTGGAGCCTCATCGAAGCTCCTAGAGACGCTTAGGATCAGTCCGTCCTCAGGTGTGGCCGAGCCCATCTTCCTCACTTCATTAGGGTGTGCGTATTGCTGATCATGGCCAGTTTGAGATGTCTCGGTCTGGAACCAGGACTTGAAGAGGCGACGACAGGACAGCTTTGGGCGCGAAAACTGCCTGGCCACATCCATTGAAGCCATCGTGGACGTAAACTGGTGGATGACATATTGTCATCCATTTCATCTTCACAGAACAGACTGGTCGCATCATCTACAATAAAACATGAAGACATAATTTGTTTTAGTCTAAATATTCATTAGAAATATATATGCTTGGTGGTACATACACAGATATGTTTCTTATACACATATCGCTTCTAGTACATAAAGACTGGCTTTGTGATACATCGATAAATGTAAGGTGAGGCTTAATGGGGTTTAGTCACGTTCAAGATTATTGCACTTATATAGCGACGTGCATGCACGTATGCGTGTGGCTGCATGCACTAGTCTGGACTAATACCGATTTTATAGTGCTAGCCCACAGAGACCCCATGCCGCAGTGTAACATGAACACCCCACACATACACAGTATACAGATTCGGGGCCGACCAGTCCGTGTCCGTCTTTTGGTATGACGCGGTCGGTGATGGAACCCCCGACCTTTTTTTCCAGGCGGACGCTCTAACACTAGACCACGGAGGCGGTCCACATATATGTCCTGTGATACAGTTCAGTCTTGTGATACACAGATATGTCTTGTGGTACATACACGGATATGTATGACGACCCAAATGCAGAAACCTGGCGTACATACAAAACAAGTCAAATAGCAGTTTCATCGTAGACTGTAAAAATCAACTTACCGCCACAATCTGTTCAACAACGTGTTGTGTAGAAATGATCTCTACTTCTTCCAAACTACTGTACGCCTGGGTCTACATTACAGTGTTTGCTGTCGGTGACACGGTCAATGTCCAGGGGTTCACAAGCTCACTGATCATGACTGTAAAGCGTCCGTAAAATGATCAAATATGTCGTCCTAGTTCGACATTCATTTATTGCCAGTTTTTACAATCCAATCATAGTGTTTACGTCTTCATGTCGATACTAGTGTCCGCCAATACGGTCTGTAGAGATTCTGTCTGGTGAACGTTACCTGGCCGCCGAGCTATATAGGACAGTCTTCGTTCACATGTGACAAGTCGATAAAAGTATTCAACAGCTGAAACTCCGGAACTATTTTCATATCCGTTGGGCCTAAATGCAAGACTATTGTACTCCAAACATCTGCAGAAAACAATTAATGAAAATGTACCGTCATCCCCAGAAAACAGACACTCGTGATACATATTTATCCCTTTGTACAACTTTGTGGTTCTAAATTTAGAAATGAGACACGCGTTTGCAGTGGTATTTCATCAGTTGTTGCGAAAGAGCTATGGTGCAAGTTGTCTCCCTTACTACAGCAGCCCTCTCTGCGGTTAATCGCGCACTTGTTCATAAAATATAGGCGTGGTAAATTAGTGGAATTAGACGGAATTCGTGGACGTCGGTAAAAAAATCCAAGAGTAGACCATTTTAAACGAAATAACCAGTTCATGAATGATATATCTTAAATCATAACTTCACTGATTATTGGATCCGTTTGTATTAGTTATCATTCTCATTATTATTCTATTATGACGGGAATTTGTTTTTAACTATATGATTTTGGAAGTAAACACACCAACTGTATAGAAAGGTACTGGCATCTAACGAGTGAAAACGAGTCAATATGAAAAATTCACTAGTTTCAGAAAGTTGGTATTAGGGGGACGTTTCGCATCTCATTTATTACTTGCCGTTTATAACTTTTATAAACCTCATTTGAGATTCCCGTCATAAGCTAGGTCTGGATGAATACAATATTACACTGCCGTTTATAAATGGTCAACGCGACCCACAGCATAATCCAACTGAGTTAAACAGAACAACAACAAAAAGTTGAGACATATAAATGTCTATAAGCATTACAATTTTCGAATATCTGGTTTTTAGGGTGTGTTTTTTACAGAGCTGAATAGACATCAACTCGGCCATGAAGTTGATTGGCAGTTGGGGTTTAGGGTTGAGGGGGTGGGTTCCAAGCCTACCTGGCCCTTAGTTTTTGTCTCCCAATGTTTAGTTTATGCATTTGAGGGAGATGGACTGGTATAGAGCTGGAAGTCAAGCTTTGCTAGTGTAGTGGTTTATACATAGTAAATGAGGTATAAAGTATTGCGGCTGTTGTGGCTGGGGCTACCATCGCGCCCTGACGATTCTTCAAGTCGGCTTTGAAAACAGGATCCGCCGAAAATAGCAACGACTTTTAATATAGATTACAAACGAAAACGGCAAAGCATTTACATAAACCCTTCTTTTTGTTAATATATTATATAACTTTCTCCCGCCTGTTGCACTGCAAGTGACTGTTGACGCGAGGTAAAAAACCTCTTCGTGTTTAACAGTATGTAGCCTGTGTTTCCGTCCTATTCTTTGTGTAATTGAGTCACCTCTGTCAGTGATTAACACCACACTTTAATCTGTGGGCAAAAGAGGAATGCGTGTCACATGCGAGTTTATTCAGCAAAACAACTCAATCTCAGTAAAACTGTTAACATGTTTTATCCATAAACCATAACGCATAACGCAAAATATCATTAGCAATGTATAATCATTTAATTCTGACATATAATGTTTTGTGGCTTTTATGAAAGTGTGTTGAATTGAAGAAAAAAGTTGTAGCCGTTTTTGACTGTTGTCAGCTTGATTCCAAGTTCCACTTGTTTCCTAAAATTCAAGGATTAAGCAAAAGGCAAAACGTTCCACAAATTAGTTGTGTTCACAGGCCTATAAAATTCAATTACGCTGACCAAGGTGCATCATATACCCGACAAATCCTGAAATAATTACAAGACTAATCCCAATCAATATATAACACAAAACAGACATAAAGAAATTGATTTATGAGCTTTCTACAAATGTGTTCTGGCATAAACGGCTATAATGGAACCGCGAAAAATGTATGCATATTCACGGAAAATAAATGTTACATATAAACATATTCACTGACTGGAAAACAGATTCAGAAAAAATACAGGTACTCGGAAGTATCAATTCTTGTTTGTATGGCCTATATCTATAATATAGCATGTTGATACTTATAGAAAACTGTTGTACAACTATTTTCAATTGAAACAATTTTTAGTGGTGGGACTGAGGGCACCTCACACATTTTTCCAAAATCCTATGGCATGTTTAGGATAACAAAACTTCATGAGATGCTTTTGGGACAAATCACATGTGAGAAGACACACAGTGTGGCAATAAAATATATATTTCAGACAAAAAATGCTTCTGGCTTTGCAAAAAAGTAAATAAGAATTGTAATCCAATAGCTGAAAAGTTGGGGCGTTCTGTTGATACCATACACTCACAAACCATTGAGTATACGCCAAATCTAAACTTATTAATCTGCTCAATGAAGACAGACAAAACAATGTGACTGAGGAATTATGACCTGGTGACTGCATAAACTAGCCTTATCTACACAGTAGGCTCCTCAGGCAACGTGACTTCTGATCTGTGTTCCCTCTACAGGACAATGTTTAGCCATGTACATAATTTACAAATTTATTTGTTTCTAATGTATGTCAAAAGTGTTTTATGGAGTCGTTTTAGCCAACCTATCTAAGAATAATGGCCTCAAATATACATGACATGACAGACAAAATCACTGGCAAATATTGAGCTCTGGTCTTCTGGTTACATAGAAATGGTGCACCCAGTGATAGAGGTATCACCCTGCAGCCAGGTAAGACAGCTAGGTAAGACATGTATATAATAGTGCAGTCAGCAGTTATGTCTCTGACAGTCAGACATCCACTGAACCTTCATCCAGGACTCAATTAGAAACAGGAGCACCGCCATCCCTACTTTTTCAAAACTTTGCTATATCTACCTATCTTCATCTTTGACAAGTTTACCTCATGTGGTCAAATGCAGTTTAACTTGCCTCTAGGTCCTTGTCTAGGGACTCACCATTACTATTCTAGGGGAGTGGGGAGTTGGGGTGATGGGTTGGCATTTTTTGTTAAACAGAAACTTCTAAAAATGTTTACACCACCATGGTCGCCTTTACTTCCGGTTTTGGAAAACATGTGCCCTATGCAAGAAGACTTGAAAACTGTAAGACCCCTCAATTCCGGCCAATTGTATGCTTGATTATGCTAGCTGTTAACATGTGTAAGAGTGAGTGAGTGAGTGTGTGAGTTGTGTTTAACACTGCTTTTAACAGTATTCCAGTTATATCATGGCGTGTCAGCTTAATGTGGGAGGAAAGTCCGAAGTGATGCAGGTCTCAGACGTTTACCACTTCGGTGAAACCCACAAGCACAAGTATGGTGCTGACAAATCTAGAAACATAATCAGGGCAAACCGGAATTCGAACCCACAATCATAGGTTTCTGGCATGCCCAAGGGACGCAACTCTGCACAGCGAATTGTGGCGCCTTAGAGGACTGGGCCACCCGTGCCCCCACATGTGTAAAATCTCACAGTACACAAAGAAGTATATCTACATTCAGAATGACAATTTCAGTGACTTTCACCTTCAATAAAAATTGCACAAAATCTTACCACTTCAAAGATACATTTTTAGCATATGACCTTGAGAGTGAATATGACCCCTAGTTGTAACAAAGAATATATGGTACATGCTAAAGAAGGTCATTCTAATCTGTTATCAAAATTCTGTGAACTTGGACCCTCCCAAAAGAAGACCTGTACGAAGTTCCATTGACCTTTAGCAATAATTTTAGTCAAAAGAGTAAACATGCTTCCCAATGACCTTCTCTGTGACCTTATACAAAGGTCACTCACAACCTTTTCCAATCGTGGTTCCATCCTATGGAATACATGTTTCAAGTTTCACTGGCCTACAGTAAATCCTTGAGTTGTACAGTAAACACATTAAACACACTTTTCTCCTAGGGATATAATGGAGATATGCATGTCAAAAACGTGTTAAAGAAGAAAGTGCGACAGCAGCTGCGGCAGTCAAATTCAGGCAAAACCATAATCCTTAATATTGTATAATCCACAGAGTTTATCTGCTGCCAACAGTTCGAAAAACACAAATAAATTCCATAATGTCAGGACAAAATCGAGTTTGGCAAGCTTCTGTGTAACAACAGATTGGGTATGATATAAACATTCTATAACAATTAAAGAACAATATATGTATAAAGTAGACATTTGGCACATTTAAGGCTAACCAAGGAAAGCACACAGGAACCTCTACGGAACTCTCAGGTAATACAATACAAGGATAAATATAGGAAGTATATCTTGTCTCAAATCTCTTAGTGACAGGTCAATTGTTTGATGATGCAATCTAATACATAATTGGGCAACCATATCCTGACTAAATAATCTATAACCAATACCAATGAAACATTTTGCAGTAACCAAGGAACTGTGTAAGTGATCACAGGCACATCACATTGTTGCTTCTTCCGCTAAACTGAAGCAGTACAAGAAATTTTCAGATGGTTTGAAAGTAACAATAATCAATACGGATCTGTGCCAAATGGTATGTAAAAACTTTGTATCTGATCTTAAAACATAACCATGGGGAAGGAAGGTGGCTCCCAAAGTCCCAAACTTAACACCATCAAACCATGGTTACATTCAAAACATAGCTAACATTTTGTTCAGGTGACCTCAAGGTAACACCAATCATAACTAAGGTTTGCACACAGCAATTCATGTACACGGCACCTTTAATATAAAAAACATATACAACATCTGACACAAATATCTTTGGCATACATATCACAGTAATCATGTAACTGAACATGACCTGCCTCTGTACAGAAACAAAGGATGTCACATTCCTTCTAAACTCATGGAACATGTCACACTTCTTCTGTATATTAATACAAATATCTGTAAGAAATTATGTATAGGCGACAAAAGTCAACATACTCAGATTTGTACACACACACATTATAAGTTAAGTTATAAGCAATTCTGGTTTATTGACCTTGACCTTCAATCTCAGCCCTGAACTATCAAGTTATATAGATATATAAAGTCTCAAATTCCAAAAATAAATGCTCAAGATATTGTGTACACAATCTTGTGGGTTTCAGCTACTTCACAATGACCTTGACCTTCAACATCATCCACTCACATTCTAGAAAATTACTTCTTGCAAACTTATATGAAGTCCCCATATCATTCTCACACTACTTTGTGAATGCAACTATCTACAAGTCATGGGAGTGAATGACCCCTGAAGTGACCTTGACATTTGACACACTTAGGACATATGACAGGTATTGAGTTAATAGACCGCCCCATGCTGTCAATCAAAAGTAGACAATGCTTGTAAATACAAAATCAGTTTTGATTCATGATTTTTGGTTGTTGCTTTTTGCCAGTTTTGGGCATTGAGTTAGCAATATTCATATTCCAGGACAAGGGAGACATACTGAACACACTTTTAAAAAATATGTGATCCCACTTTGGTAGTGCAGATTGAAATCATAACATTATTTAAACTCTGGTGGGAATTGTTGTCCACTCTCTTAGGTATTAACTTTGTCACAGATCTTGAAATGTTTTAATTTCAAAATGACAAATTTCCCAATAGGCCTACCTAACATTGCAAACTACTGCAGTAATAATTTATAAACATGGAAATATAGCCATTGTCAAAGGTTTTCTGTCATGCAACATATTTCAATTAAATTCAAATAAGTTCACATTATTGTTTGAATATTTCAGCATTCCTATGAAGAGGCAGGACCCATTATTTAGTTCCTTGATCCAATTCTTGTGAAGGGAAGCACCCAATCCAAGGATAGAAAGGAAGAGGATAGTTTAATGAAGTGAGAAGAATAGTGAATTGGCAGAATATTGTGACTGATTGAAATAAAAGTTTATTTCTCTGTCATGAGAATAAAATATGTGTTTAGAAATTTTTACAACAGAAGTTATTCAGTGGCAGTGGAGACTTATTGTTATGCATTTTAGTTAAATAATAACACAACTGTCATGGTGATTTTAACTGACTTACTGTAAATGATGTCAAGACATTTTTGATAACACAGATTCCTCAAGTAAACATTAAAGTAATGATATAAATCATAATCTAATGAAGTAATTAATCATTATTCCAATCAATTAGGTGATGTAATGTCAAAGTTAGATTCATATGATTTAACTGCAGGACATGGCAAGCACATATACACAAAATAATTCATGGTACAACATCCACTTGGTATAAAACCCAGCTTGTTGACTCTTGCAATAAGACATATTTCTTCTCTAATAAAGATAAGGCTGAAAGTGATACCAGTATCAAACATATTTGAAGATACTGCCTCCAAATATTTTTTTAAAATATCCCAAACTATCAAAAGGCACCAGTTCACCACAAGACCTATCAATGTACCAAGTTTGCTGAAGAAATATTGTTAGGTTGTCAAGGTCAGCTCCAGAAACCACATTGTGCACAAACAGACGATGTCCATTTCATTACCCCCACGCAGAAGACATTGCGTGGATAATTAGTGCTTCAGATATGAAATAAATGTGACTGTTGACAATCTATTTACAGATATCCAAATGATTTGCAATATGCACATATGCTTGTGTTTATGGTTTCCATAACATTAAAAACGAAAGGAAAAGACAAAATTTAATTGAACTGCCAATGGATGTGTAATAAATTACTGACAGGACCTTGCCCTTCCTGACATGACTAGCTTGAAGTTATGCACTTCCTCAGGGACAGATAAGATTTACATTGGACAAATGCTCCATTTCCATTCACCAGATAAAATTTGACAACTGAGTCCCAACACAAAATTTGTATAAGTCTACTTACAACACTTTTTGACAAACAACTGGCACCAAATGTATCAAGCCAAATTCATCACTCATGCAAATAAAATTACACCGTCTGTGACACCATAGCAACTAGCGAGTGCCTGTCGCTCTGTCCCCTACCGTTCTAACATCAACAACAAGTTGGAGACAAGGCGAGGGCTTATTGGCCAGGGCTGGAACGGTCTATCATTTAGAGTTCTTCACCAAGTGATTGGAAAATGCTCAATTTTGTCATGAATCCAAAGGTGAAATTTGAACCATTTAATATGACCTCCTGTGATCTTGACCTTATACAGAGGTCACCTAAGATTCGATATAACCAAAACCCCACCTTAAAGATGATGTATATTAAGTTTGATCGTAAATACTCAAGTTATCCTGCACACAAGCTATTTTGACGTCTCCCTCATACTGAGTGACCTTTACCTGCAATATTATCCAATTATATGTCATAAAAATATACATAGGAATATAGAGGAGGTATACCCGGGTAGGAAGTCTCTTTCATCTGTCATAAACTTGTGGTTGAGAAAACCAATTGTGGCAGTGGTGGTGGTGGAGCTCAAGTTGGAGCAAACACATTGAGCAGTCCCCCTTATTAGAAGGCGCATCTTCCCGAGGCAATGAGTTAACTGACTATAAAAGTCTAGTTTCCACCCTTGCCGAAATAGGCTGGTATTATGGAGTTACATTTTGGCTGGACTAATGAGTCTATTCATAGTCCAATCAAAATCATGCAACGAAATTGAAATCCGCTTTGTAAACTGTCATGCAGATTTCGGTCGATTGCAGGATTTGCAAAGCATGTGCACCGCCAACTCGTTGTCAACAAATATTTTCAAATGTTTTTAATCAAGGTGCTTACGTGATTTGATGCACTTTGTGATGTAAGACTTGTTTTATGACAAATTTGATCTTGATTATCGATCAGATCGTCTTGACAGGGCGCCACCATTTTGTTTGAAGCAAATGCAAGTGATACGAGAGGTGGAATCTGATTGGTCCATAGGACAGGCATAGAAGGGACATAACTCGTAATAGTCACAGTTGGCGCTACGATTGAGGCCAGGATTCGAGTCTAGTTCGGCAAGGGTGGAAACTAGACTTTTAAAGTCAGTTAACTCTCTTGCCTTGGGTAGATGTAGAAGGCGTTCTTAATTACAATTTCAGTAAAAGTGTTACACACATGGCCCCGAAGCCTATGTGACTCTTTCAGCACAAAAGAAATCCTAGACTGTACATACATTTACACAGACTTCATGACACAGTCAGAGACATCTATGAATTTGCAACCGGTCAAGGCAAACAGAAAAAAAATCCCTGTCGTTATATCTTGAGTAAAATAGTCTGAAAGAACACCTAAAAGCAGATCCTGACTTCCTGATATACAAATATAGGGTGTTATGTAGAAAAATACTCATGTAAAAGATATGTCAGATACTGACCCATACAACCTTTTGACCTGTAAGTCTAGTGATCTTATGTTTCATTATGCCAAGGTGTAAATGCTGGATGCTTTGTGTCTTTAGTGATGTGGGTGGGAGGACCAAACCTCTCACACATGAAATTGGGCCAATATTTCACCTGATACAGTAAGAATCCATGTCCACATGACAAAAGATAAGGAGATTCAAAGACAGGTGTACATACAATTTTCAGACAATAAAACATGATGGTTTGTACAGCTGAATGAAGAGACATATATGTGAATAATTTCCAAACATGTTCAGTATTATGATATGAGCATTCAGAAGAATGACTTCCATAAATAATAACCTGTGAACATTTGAATAATTATCAAAACATCTTCTTAAATAACAACAAGTTGTAAAAAGTATTGGTTATAATTCAGTCTTGGACAATTCTTTCTGGTTCTTTTCTTCTCTCTCCTTCCGCTTTGTGGCCAAAATTTTGCGAGCTTGTAGATGTGCAAGTTCCTTGAACTGTGGGTTGGTTGTGAACCACAATGCTAATGCACATCTGGTACCCTTGACAACTGCCTTAACCCCATGAAACTCACCAGCATTAAAGCTGACAAGTCGCCCACACTTGGGATGAACATTTACCTGGGAAGGAAAACAAGACAGTGAAAATGTTTTTCCATGGCTCTTCCATCTATCATTCTGCTTGTAAATATACCATATTATCACAATTGTTCATGCTTGTAAATATACCATATTATCACAATTGTTCATGCTTGTAAATATACCATATTATCACAATTGTTCATGCTTGTAAATATACCATATTATCACAATTGTTCATGCTTGTAAATATACCATATTATCACAGTTTATGCTTGGAAATATACCATATTACCACAATTGTTTATGTTTGTAAATATGCCATATTATGACAATTGTTTATGCTTGTTAACTTATGTCAAAACAATTGTATATGCTTTTAAACATATAATATAAGAATTGTATATGATTGTTAGTATGCCATATTTTAACAGTTGTTTATGCTTGTAAACATACCACATGATAATTGTTAATGCTTGTAAATATACTATATTATAACAATTGTTTATGCTGGTAAATATACCATATCATAACAATTGTTAAACTTTGTAATATACCATATAATGTCAATTGTTTATGCTTGTAAATATACCATATCATAACAAGTGTTTAACTTTGTAAAATACCATATAACAATTGTTAATGTTTGTAATTATCCAGTCAACTGTCAACCTGTCAACCCCTCATCATGACAATGTGGGAGATTTGACTTCAAAATGTGGGAGATTTGCCTCCAAAGGGGGAGATTTTTAAAATAGTGAAGATAATTTTATTTCCAACTCTTATTTTTATTAATGCGATTAAGAAAACCAAATATTTTAAAACAATCAATAATTATTAACTTTTTATACGTACAGCTTGCATAATTTCCATTTGCATTTCCTCCTCCAAGAATAAACATAGCACAATCTATCCATATCACTTTCGTTCAAAGATCATCTCAGATAAACGCAAACAGAAATTGAAATTTAACGATCGGTAGCTTGACCAGTTGACCATGGGATTCAATCCAACCAGTTGTCAGACTTTGTTATGATGCAGGTTTTCTAAGTATTTGGCACGATTTTGGTTACAAGAAATATCAAGTGACGCAATATCCTGATGCAACATGATCGCCCTTAATTTTTTTTCTGTCTGCAGTACTTCGTCTGTTGATAGTCCCATTACTTCGCTTCTAAAATTTCCTAGAAACGTTCTGGTTATTCTATTCCAAGAAATGTATGCCATATTTGGAAGTACTACAGTGTTCCCTCGTTATTGCGCCCTTCAATAAAGTGCTAACTCGGTTATAGCGCGTGGTAAAGCATGGCTCCAAAAATTTACTATCATTTTCAATAAACTCAAGTTTTCAAATGACACGATGCTTTCCCCCATCTCAGAAAACATTATAAGCTGATCACCGCAATCACTTAACACCAGAAATACCAGTCAAACAAATCCGAACCGAAGTACGCAATTTAGTCCTATTATTATAATATCTGGTAATAAAAAAAAAATGTTCATTGTTTATCTGGACTAATGTTGCAATATATATATTTTAATTATATTTAAAATTTCATTCAATTATTAGATTCTATAATAATATTTACAATAATTTCGGCGAAATCGTATGCGAAGTGACCGGTAGATCGCACAACTCACCATTATTAACAGCAACCACGGTCAGATTACCGCTATTGACGCCTTGAAACAAACTTTAGTTGCAAGAGAAATGATACACATATCATAAATGCCATACCATGACTCGCTAAAAGTCATATTTGAGGCAATTTGACTATTAAATGTCAACATAACGTTTTCGCTATCGAAATACATATAGCACGGGAAGTCCCTACGGTGACTGGTCAAAATCGTTTCATACGTCAAAAAATATCCTGCATACAATCTGTACCAAAGTGCTACGCTTGTCGTTCTTATAATTTTAAGTATATATGGTGGAAGCTGCAACTAAAATAACACGATATTGGACTATATTATTCCTGATAAAATAATAATATCAGATACAATTTCTTCCGACCATGGCATCAAATTTCTTTAAAGTGGTATCACTGGGTACGTTTTAACTGAATCACCGGTAGATTGGGAGGAAACGCGTGCACAGCTGATTGCTATTTCCGGCTTAGTTTACGAGAAAATACACACGGTAATCTTAATCTCTGCATATAAAAGAATACCTTAGAGAGCAGGAAATACATTTTAAATGGTAAATCATCATGTCTAGTGATGTTTTATATCAAATTTCATACTTTTATTGACCAAGTTTGTTGCCGATCTACCTGTTTATTCACCTGAAGGGATACGATGTGTTGTTGTTTTTTAAAGCGCATATTAATACTCGATAAATCTTTTTCTACACTATGAATCATAAATAACTTCTATTCTAATCTTTTTTGAAACCCTGAAACATGCAACGTAGATCGTGTTAGGTAGGCAGAGCATGTATACTGTTTTGTTGGTCATCTACCAGCTACAACTCAACCTTCATTAAACCGCTGATCATCTATAATGCTCATCAATTATTTGGACCCCGAAGGTTGCGTTGTAGCGAGGGATCACTGTATTACGTTTTACTACAATTTATGAATGAAATGAGTCTCGTTGTCGTTGTTGACCTTTCTGACCTTGACGTGTATTAATCTCATTGGTTGACTAGTACTCTTGTATGCAAATTAGATTGCAGATCTGGTATGCTAGCAAATTATTAGCCAATCGTGTAAAATAATCACAGGATACATTCGCGTGAAATTTGATAAAGTTCTAAGTGTTGATATTTCTGTGCACACAAGTCACGATGTCAGTCAAAAGTTTATTTATAAGTTTCACTTTAAACTTTGACTTTGAAACCCTAGCTACGAGAAAGCCTGATCGTGTAATGCATTGTTATTTCGACTACTGAATCAACCAATCACGCATCGTGTTGCTTTTGAAGATGGCGCTTGCATGTCCTATTTTGTTTCCATTTCCGAGAGTTTAATGACGTAACTTTGAGGTATGTTGATGTTTTAACAAAGTTTCTGACAAATCTGATAACCAATTAGATCTAAGTCAACTTGTATAACTGGACCAGCCATATATGTACCTACGTTCTTAAATTATGGAGGAATAAACACACTAAGAACATGAAGACAACAGTTCATTTCAGTAGGTGATGAATACTCGGCTGATTATTTAGGTACCTGTTAGGACTATCTGAGTTTTCTTTACAGTTTACATTGTTAAATCGTTCACCACATGAATTTAATTACCAGTTGATTACAAGACAAAGGCCCATCTGGGTCCCCCTATGGATGGCTGTGATAACGGTCCCCCAATCCGTGAGCCTACTGAACAGATCGGGATGTAAACTTCCCATTCTTTGTTTTTACTCACGGGACAAGAGAGGCTAATTTTTAAAATAATGAAGAATATTGTTTTGCGGGAGAAATAGTCCATGATACGGGAGACTGGGAGATTTCATCAAATTGCGGGAGTCTCCTGCAAAATGCGGGAGGGCTGACAGGTCTGAATATCCCCTATTCTAACAATTGTTTATGCTTGTAAATATACCATATTATACCAATTGTTTATGCTTGTAAACATACTATATCATAACAATTGTTTATGCTTGTAAACATACCATATTATACCAATTGTTTATGCTTGTAAATATACCATACTATAACAATTGTTTATGCTTGTAAATATACCATATTATACAAATTGTTATGCTTGTAAACATACCATATTATACCAATTGTTTATGCTTGTAAATATACCATACTATAACAATTGTTTATGCTTGGAAATATACCATATTATACAAAAAAATTATGCTTGTAAACATACCATATCATAACACTTGTTTATGCTTGTAAACATATATAACAATCGTTTATGCTTGTAAACATACCATATAACTGTTTATGTTTGTAAACATACCATATGATAATTGTTTATGCTTGTAAATATACCATACTATAACAATTGTTTATGCTTGTAAATATGCCATATTATAACAATCGTTTATGCTTGAAAACATACCATATTATAACAATACAATTGTTTATGCTTTAAAAACTACCATATGATAAAAATAATTTATGCTTGTAAATATACCATATCATAACAATCGTTTTTGCTTGTAAATATGCCATATCATAACAATTGTGCATGCTTGCAAATATGCCATATTATAACAATTGTTTATGCTTGTAAATATGACATATTATAACAATTGTGCATGCTTGTATACATACCATAGCATAACAAGTGTTAAATTTGCAAATACATGTATACAACAATGATTAAAGTTTGTAACAACAACATATTTATAAAACAAATTTACAAGTAAGTAAAGAACTCCAACATCACACTAGACAACATCTTTCAAGACATAAGAATATTATTTAATTGAAGACAATCTTTCCACAAAAACAGATTCATGAAGTCAAGGAATGAGTTCAATACATACCTGTGCAGATTTATTCTTGTGAGCAAAGAAAAATTCCCCACCCTCAAACTCATGGTTTAAGTAAAGAATTGCACTGAAAAGAAGCAAACACATCTCAATGTAAGCACCCCAGAGCTATCCTGGCGTTTACAGTTCCTTCATACACATAGGTATTAATATTTGTAGATGCCGAAGCTCTAACTAATATTGTAATTCTAATCATGCCATCAACAATTAATTACAGTTAATAAGACATGCACCAGCCTGTCTTAATACATGGAGAAATCTCCCACAATTACCTTCCTACATTCTGTCTATATATACAGAAATGTGAATGACCTACCTGTCTACATCTAATGGAGAGGTCAATGACCTACCTGTAATATGTCTAAATGTAATGGAGAGGTCAATGACCCACCTGTAATCTGTCTACGTTTAATGGAGAGGTCAATGACCTAACTGTAATCTGTCTACATTTAATGGAGAGGTCAATGACCTACCTGTAATCTGTCTATATTTAATGGAGAGGTCAATGACCAATCTATAATCTGTCTACATTTAATGGAGAGGTCAATGACCTACCTGTAATCTGTCTACATTTAATGGAGAGGTCAATGACCTACCTGTAATCTGTCTACATTTAATGGAGAGGTCAATGACCAACCTGTAATCTGTCTATATTTAATGGAGAGGTCAATGACCTACCTGTAATCTGTCTACATTTAATGGAGAGGTCAATGACCTACCTGTAATCTGTCTACATTTAATGGAGAGGTCAATGACCTAACTGTAATCTGTCTACATTTAATGGAGAGGTCAATGACCCACCTGTAATCTGTCTACATTTAATGGAGAGGTCAATGACCTAACTGTAATCTGTCTACATTTAATGGAGAGGTCAATGACCCACCTGTAATCTGTCTACATTTAATGGAGAGGTCAATGACCTACCTGTAATCTGTCTACATTTAATGGAGAGGTCAATGACCTACCTGTAATCTGTCTACATTTAATGGAGAGGTCAATGACCTACCTGTAATCTGTCTACATTTAATGAAGAGGTCAATGACCTACCTGTAATCTGTCTACATTTAATGAAGAGGTCAATGACCTACCTGTAATCTCTCTGAATGTAAGCAGGGAACTCCTTGGGGCAGGAACCATCAGTCTTCAGCATACAGTTGTCAGCATGGACCGGGTGACTCAGGTCCGACCGGTCAAGGTTACCATCTGATACAATCACAGGTCATGATACATATTACAGGAATACAAAGTAGATTGTCCTAACTTTCCTGAATGGTGATGCTAATGAAACCTAGTTCAATACCCACTTCAAGTCCCTGTGCCACAATCAGTTTTTGAAGAGGACTTGTTCACGAGTTGGGTCTTATTTCTTGAGAGTTGCAATGTTCTTCATTCAGGGCTTGAATAATTTCTCAAACCCAACTTGTCCTGCAGGGCAAGTAGATATTATTTTGTACTCGTCCTGCGTCCTGTTATATTTACTAAAGTTTTGTTTTCTCAGTTATTATTTATGGCAGACAGTACAAAATACTTCCCCACCTATTGAAACTTGCTCAACGATGTGTCTTGCACAGTTCGTTTTCTTTTTTCACAGTCATACTGTTTTTTGTTGCCTATTTGATCATGTCTTTTGTTGTTAACCCCACCATCCCCGATCAAAAACTTCCATATGTCAGCCATTTCCTTCACAAAATCAGTCATCAGCTGTTCACTATCGCTTTGACATTTGAGCGTCAGAATTGAGTTGCTTACAGCTAAAATAATATATATAATTATCTTCCTTTAAAAACTAGTTTCAATTCCTGCTGTGCAAACGTACTTCTTGTTTATTTCTGTAACAGTCAATTGCCAAGTATGTCGCCTATTTATGATATGAGCGACATGTATTTCGTTGTTATTACTCAGAAAGTGTGGGAGATGAAGACAAATTTTAGGTTTGAAATTATCTTGCATATTTTATTGAAAACAATTAGAGATGAATTTAAATATATATGTACTTGCCCGGTATGACGAGCGTTTCTTCAATTCTTTCTCACCCTGCACATGCTGCCACTCGTCAATACGAGTGGAGGAACGGATTATTCTAGCCCAGATTCATATATTCCCTAAGAAATGCAGACAGTTTTGACTCTCATTTGTTGTTTTGGGTGATACTTGAAGCCCAGAAGAATAGATTAGAAATTTGGTACAATGTCTTCTGACATACAGTTATTGTCATGTGTAACAAAAGCAGTAGCTCATTTGTCCAGAATCTATTGGGTCAATTCTAAACACAAAGGTCACTATCTTCTTGGACTTATACCAAGCATTACTTATGAGATATGAAAACAGGTTCCAAGTCTTAATACAGCAGATTGCCGAAGATGCTGTACACAACATTTGAATCCCATGACTTTATTTCAGTGTTACATACGGAACTGTGCAGCAAGTTGTAACATACATCAACTGAAGCTTCAGCTCCCACTCAGTGCTGCATGGACATATATTTCAGTTACCGCTGTAAACTGTTGTATAGTTTGTTTATACTGGAAACATATATTGAACATAACTAATCCAGTGATTAAACATAGTTTATTGTGAAAGGACCCTCACTATAAACATGATATACATTTGGTCTTATTAAATACTTTGTTGACATTGGGTGTTGGCAGTTTTGTTTGTTCTACACTTCATATATTTATCATGACACTTCAAGCAAATGAATTGCATTTCTCTACAAAGTCTGTGCAAGAATAGCAATGCTGCTCTGATGGTCAATGGCTAGAAGTTGGATGTAGCAATGCATACGGATACTAATGTCTTGGATCAACTCAGATTGAACAAGAAAGGTATTTGCATTACATTAAAAAATTCAAGAATCAGCCCCATCCCTACCTTTTACTGAACCTAAACTTAAAATTCAGTAAACCATATTGACCTAAAAATATCGTCTTGATTTTTCCATGTTTCAACACAAGCCTAAAATCCAGAATTTTCAAAAGTTCAAGGAGTGTGAACTTGTACAAGAAGCAAACATTGTGGGTATGCTTTATAACAGATAGTTCTGTCCAATATGTAATACATGGAATCACATGTAAAGGGTGCAAAGAACAATATATTGGGCAGAAAGGATAAGCCAGAGTGAGAGTCCACAAACAACAAACACAGGATCTCAAACCAGATGCATTGGCTAGGTGCCACTTGGATACATGCTCTTCAGAAACATATTTCTTTGGAAAATTGTGCCCATCACTCAACTGCTAAATTATCTAAACGTGATGCATATGCCTGCCTATAAAAGACAGTAATGGACTTTCATGCAATTTATAGTGCACATGACCCTTGATACTGTGATGCCATGGAAACGTGGTGCCACAACCACTGTATCTCAGTGTCCCTGGTCATCGCAAAGAAACATGGAAAAAACATTGGTCATTATTTTTCTTAAATGTTCTGAATATATAAACAAGGATAAACTTCAGGCACTTCCTTCATAGTGAGATTATCCTCAGCTGTCAGACTGGACCCCTATCCCCAACCTTTCAGATCATTGCAGTTTAAAATTGTGTCTCCCTCATATAACCATATGTCCAAATTTGTATGACACCCATTTGAATCTCTGTCTGGATAACTGGAAAGAAAAGGCTATGTTGTGACGTCCTACTCACCATCAATGGCTGACCGACAAACAAGGTGTGTGAAGTCAAAGTACAGAGGTTTTGTGACATTGAAGTATTTCTCTGTGAACAGACGACTGCGCTCGCTCAGGTTCACAAACAGCTCAACGGCAGCATAGCTTACTTTGTCCGAGTTGGCCAACTGAGGAAGGGAGAGCATCACATGACAGTAAGACGATGGTTGTGGTAAATGAGGCACTTGTCACACAAACAGAAAATAGTTGTTAAACATTTCAAGATCTAAACGAATGAAAGATAAAACATATCATTAAGACAACTTAAGCCTAATAACTCAATTGATGGGACAAAATAGGAAGATATTACTCTTACAAAGGTTAATATTGTGTTTAGAGAGTCTAGAGTATGTAAAACATTGTGCTCAGTGAAAGTGATAGCAACACAATGAAGATGACTGTACACTAGTGATGGAGCTAGCTCCTCACTGTCTTAAACTTCAATACATAGATGATCACTGGTCTACACACTATTTATGTCTGACCTGCACACTAAAGATAGTAATTTCACACAATGGATGGGACCTAGACACTATAGATGGGACTTACACACTATATATGTGAGACCTACACACTACAGATATGAGACCTACACACTATAGCTTGGACCAACACACTACAGATGGAACTTACACACTATAGATGGGACTTACACACTATAGGTGGGACCTACACACTATAGATGGGACTTACACACTAGAAATGTGAGACCTACACACTATAGATGAGACCAACACATAACAGATGGGACTTACATACTATAGATGGACCCAACACACTATAGATGGGACAAACACAACACATTTGGATGGGACCAACACACCACACTATAGATGAGACCTACACACAATAGATGTGAGACCTACACACAATAGATGTGAGACCAACACATAATAGATGGGACCTAAACACTATAGATGGGACCAACACCCTATAGATGGGACCAACACACTACAGACGGGACCTACACACTATAGGTGGGAGACTTCCACACTATAGATGGGACCAACACACTATAGATGTGACTTCCACACTATAGATGGGACCAACACACTATAGATGTGACTTCCACACTATAGATGGGACCAACACACTATAGATGTGACTTCCACACTATAGATAGGACTTACACACTATAGATCGGACCCACATACTATAGATGTGGGACTTACCTCAATAGATGCGAGACCTACACACTATAGATGGGACCTAACACTATAGATGGGACCTACAGACTGTAGATTGGACCTAGACACTATAGATGGGACCTACACACTGTAGATTGGACCTACACACTGTATTACCTTCTCTTGAGGGTAAATTTGTATCGTGAGTGTTCCTTGAAAACAAATACCCTTGAAAATTGGTTCATATTCCAGAGGGCACAGGAATCGGACTGTTTTACTGGAACATCCGATGTATTAGAAGACAAGAAAACTTCAGGAAAGACTGTAACATTTCTTTGTGGTCTACCACTCTTAGTTAGATGGCAACTCTGAAGCAGCTTACGTTTGTTGATTAGTGAAACTAACAATTGATTTCTAACCCTACTGGAACATCACAAATATGACCAAAACCCCTGTGTACAAATTCTTGTTAATAATCAATACAAAAAGACCCACCTAATCACTGCCATTTGTCCATAAAAATGAGATCCTCTAAGCCTAGATAATCTAGCTGTTGAACAGTCACAAGAATACCTATAATAACAAAAGTATTTCAGCTATGATATTAACCTAACAGGCACCCTGACTCCATATACTTAACAGAATATTTACAAAAATCAGAGTTCCTAGATTGCCTTGGACAACAAGAATCTGAGGGGACCTACAACATCTCTACACAGTTCCATGGCTAACAATTACTCGCTTTTCTGACAACATTCTGATCCACGGTCCTCAAATCCACCTAGTGCAAAGACTATTATCACTGGGTCCAGTACTCTGGAATGGAATCTAGTATGCGGGTTTTTGTTAATGTCTTTTCTTCATGTCAGATCATTGATACCTTAGACATCTCAACAAATATACGCATCAGGTCAGGCATGACAACATACAAACCTTTGCTGCACGGTAAACTGTGAGGCCTTGGAACATCTCATGCTCTGTGTGAGGGGAGATAGCTGATGGCTTAGTGGGGAGATGCTCGTACCCATCACCGACTAAAGCACCCGTCTAGAAGCCAGCAGAGATGACAAGCAGAGGACAATATAGACAGGATGTGAAGGAAAGCTGAGAGTGTGCTGAGACCACATATCAGGGTGTACTCCAATACAGTGCCAATACTTGTGCTAACAGTAATACAGATATATATCATTCAAGCCTACAGCTGTATGGTCAGCCTAGCAGGTGCACTGAACAACAAGGACAAATTCTGGGTTGCGGCAAAAGAGAAATGCTCTCCAAACAAAACAAGGTGTAGCCTACAGCCACACAAATTTCAGCTTAGCTGACCATGCTTTGAGCTTTTGAAGTAGAAACAAAATTTAACAACATCCATTTTCTATATTGCGCAACATATGAGAACAATAAGTGTTATTTAAATGTTTATGAAAAAGAAACAACTCAACCCCACCCAATATGCAAAATGATCCAAATTCTGAAAGACAGCTATTCCCTTACAGCTAATCAGCATGTATTGATACTACTATTAAATATACACCCTGATACACACAGCTATTACAAATCAATTTTCTAAAGCGATAAAGAAAACAGGATCAGTAGTAAACTATCCAATGAAACATCAAAATTACTAATGGTAAACTATGCAGTTGTATGAATTATTTGAAAGATTGTATGACATTGCAGTTAGATGTGAGACTACATAGCGATCATGAGAGTGTTAAAACACAAATTCAACACACACAAAAACCCATGTCAAAATACTGCAAAATGAAAAAACATTACATGAAAAAAACTTTGCAAAATGTCAGGTTCATATTGTTACTTAATGAATTAACAAAATATTTTTTTTATAATCTTATAATCTAGGCTAATGTACCAATGACGTCTGACTTGTTTAATAATTAACAGAAATAAAATCTTTAAAAAATCTATTTAATGATCCTACATGACATAAGCCCTATACAGATTTACACAAGTTACTAAGTAAACATGGGAGTGTTTTAGAGTCACTATCTAGCCTTCAGCTGAATGACACTTCTAAGCTGAAACCTGCACCACTTTCAAAGCGTTGCTATGTGCTGATGGCAAATGATATATAGTTACAATGCCAACATATATATGTACCTCCCACGCGTCAATCATTGTAAAGCCCTTAAAATTCTCCTGGGGTGTGTGAGGGAAAGAATTCCCTTCATAGCCACTCCCCTCTGTACCGTGAGTCTGAAATACAACAGCCCTGAACATCATCGCACATCCTGCTTCTTACTTTCTCAATATTATTTACCATCTTTATACACAATACCAAGTCCCTACCCACTGTAGTTGATAAGAATATATTACCACAGGCATTGTAGCTCACCTGGATATGTAGTCATCAGTTTTTAAAATGTCAAGAAAGATAGCTACTTAACAAACATTGCTGTCCGCAATATCTTAATATATTCTGCATAAATACCGAGGTCTGAATACTAGTACCATAATTCTAAAATAATTTGAACAAAATAACATTTTTATCATCAGGAGAAACATACATGCCAAAGTTTAACTACCCGGTACCTCAGTTTGGAAATCTCAGTGGACAAACATGGACAGAGCCAAAAATGCATTTTGAGAGAATTTAGAAGCAAGGTCTGTATATAAAATTCTGCAAAAAAGTGGAAACAAATCAAACAAATACGAAATTTAACTACATTTTAAACAAAAAATGGCTGAGTAACTGAAAAGCCATAAGAAGTGACAGCTTACAGTAAGATTGCTAACTTACGTCAAATCTAGGTCAAACTATAGAATATTGCAAAAATAAATCGAATTGGCCTACTAGATTTCTGAGAAGCCATATTTGATTTCCTGTCAAGCTTCCTAAAACAAACATGGAACTACATATGATGCCCATCTCAAGTATCAGATCCCCAGTTCTTCGAAAAAAGTGCCTGCCCATAGGACCTTGGCAGGTAGATTTTGTATATATCAGCCATTGATTCAAATTTGTATGGGTCCTTTTGGCCTGCAGTAAATTTACGTTTTGATTTATCTGTCACAATAAGCCGCAATTTTTGGAAAAATGTGCGCCTGAAGAGTTCAGTCAGCATCTGCAGCTTCTGAAGTTTGTGGGTCCTCCTGGCAATTGTTTTTATTTCAAAGACTGCTTGAAGAAGATTCTTTACTATATTTTTTATAAATCAAAGATAGCTACCTGGTGGCAATATTGAAAGTCCAATTTAGATGCCGTGAAAAGACACTTGAACCCCCTTACAGTAACTACCTGTGAAGATCCTGGTTAGAATAGGTCTTCAGGAACCCATGCTTGCCATAATAAGCAACTATGCTTGTCGTAAGAGGCCACAAACAGGATTGGGTGGTTAGGATTGCTGACTTGGTTCAGGCATGTCATTGTATCTCAGTTGTGTGGATCGATGCTCATGACATCTATCACTGGATTTCTGGTCCATACTCAATATTTACAGACCGCCGTCATATAGCTGGAATATTGCTTAGTGCAGCTTTAAACAATAAACAAACGACAAACCTTACTCACACAATTTCAGCTTGAATCCATCAAGTCATTTCAGAAAAGTTGAAAACGGATCTGACATCATGACAGAATCTTAGCGACAACATAAACTCACAATTTTGATGATTGATCATAGTTCCAACAACACAGAATATCTTGACATCATTTTTTGTAGACCAGCACAGGTAATTTAGTACAAGGACTTTGTAATTTTGACCAAGCCATTCACATTTAGGGCCCTTTCACATCTAGCACTGATATCTGAAGATTAACTTGCCAATCACGAAGAACCATAACTACTTAAAATATATATAAATATCAAGGAGAAAAATCATATTGCTCTTTAAATCAGACAATAGTTTCTTTTTTGAAATACAATATGGTGTATGGCATGGTCATATACCACTTGACCACAGCTGTGGCAATGTTCTTGATAGAGCCTGGTTGGTACCTTACCAGGACAAGGTTGGTCAGTGTCTGGCACTCATCGTCCTTGGCAAGTCCATCGGCCATCACTCGCTCCCCTCCCTTCATGTCAGCACCTTCCTTTGTTATAGAGATCCCTGCAATGGTGACAGCTTTGTTAAAATAAACACATCTTGAAGGTGAGAAGATATATACTGGCAATCAGTCAAGTCATGCAGTTTGCTAGCGTCACTAGGGTTACTAAACAGAATGAATAAGTACAGTTTAATTTTAGTCATATAACCACAGGTGACTTCCCTATTGTTGAAGTCACATTCAAACATAGACCAAAATATTGTGAGCAGCCAAACTTATTGTTTGATCAAAGAACTTGGTATTAGTGACACATCAAACAAGAGTCATCAGAAAGATGACATATCCCCCCGGCAGCTGTCTGTAAAGTAACCACTAGTAAATGTGCAATTCTGTATGTCATGAGTCAACAGTTGAATGTTCTTTAAGAAGCATACATTGTTTACCCACTGAATGGTTTTCGAATTCTGGCCCGGAAACGAACCCGTTCCCCAATGGAGTCTAGGTCCAACTTCTTTCCATAAAAATTGTAAAAAATAAAAATTCGTAAAAAAATAAATATCAAAAGGCACGCACTTCGGTATGTGCCCGATAGCTTTGCCAAGTTTCGATCAAATACACTGAATGGTTTTCGAATTCTGCCCCAGAAACGAACCCCATCCCCAATGGAGTCTATGTCCAACTTCATTCCATGAAAATTGAAAAAAATAAAAATGAGAAAAATCCCAAAATATCAAAAGGCACCACTTCAGTATGTGCCTGATAGCTTTGCAAAGTTTCGATCAAATACACTGAATGGTTTTCGAATTCTGCCCCGGAAACGAACCCCATCCCCAATTGAGTCTATGTCCAACTTCATTCCATAAAAATTGAAAAAAATAAAAATTCGAAAAATCCCAAAATATCAAAAGGCACCACTTCAGTATGTGCCTGATAGCTTTGCCAAGTTTCGATCAAATACACTGAATGGTTTTGGAATTCTGCCCCGGAAAAGGAAATGATTACAGACGGACAGACGGACGGACAGACAGACTGGCTGATCGCTATATCCCCCCGCATTATATGCGTACTAACAACTTTGGACTTGACTCTATAACCTTAAGACATGTCTATTCCTCTTTTGTACTGGATTGCAAAGCTCCATAAAATACATACGAAGAGAGATATTACTGGGTCCAGCAAATGTACCACCAACAGTGTACGACAAATCCCTGTCATAAACATTAACCATAATCCTTTATACAATCAAGGAAGGACTTTCCATATATTCAAAGAAAGTATCTGAGACATTCAAGTGAAGTGAGGTGAAACAGGGTTTAAGTTATTACACTTATCTAGTGAAGTGCAGGAAAAGTGCAATTACATTAGCACATTTGACTTTCAGTTAGGTGAGCTAAAAGTGGAGTTGCAATTCCAAAGGGCAAATAATCAAATTGTTTTGTCATACCACTTTTTTTCATATCTTCTAAGGTGAGCTGTTTGGAGTTCATATCACTCAGCAAGTATTTCCTGTCCATCTTGTGCAGAGCCTTGATGGTCTCAACATAGGCCTGGTCATCCTTGGTGGGGTCAGTGGTGTACCGGATGACCAGTGCACATCGCTGCTCACTGTACGGGATGCTGACACCATGATGGTCACTGCTCTCAAATGCAACCAGCCGCCCACACTTTATTCCAACTTTGCTCTGGATGTGAAATGACATATTTATATAATTTTATATTTTGAAGTTACGATATACAGCTTTTCCATTGGACGAGAGGTCGGTCACATGACCACAAAATCGTTCATAAGTGTATGACGTTCATAAGTTTTTCACAAGACCTTGTTCTAGAAATGACGTAAACATTGACCGACTACTTCCACATTCCTGGGGGAACCCCTGGGAATTCCCTTGCATGAATACATACAGAAGCGTTCTTTCTGATCATTTGGACCCTTTAATCTTGAACTCAGTAATTTAGTGTACATTGAAAAACGTCAGAGAGTTTGACTACATGATCATTCATGAATATCCTCGCTACGACCATGCTAGTGAACAAAACTAATAAGCGCACATCCAAACTGTTGTATCTGTCGATCTGTCTTGACAGACAGTTACAGTCTACAGAAATCTATGCATTTTCCTTAGTGCCTATTTGATACATCTTTAATCACCTTTCAATGATCGGCCAATTGATCAAGGATGAGTAAAACATGTAACTGCCAGAGGTTCATTAACAACTTTCAAAATCTCTCCCGTCACGTTTATCGTGTTGGACATTTTTACGTCTTATACTTGATGTAAATGTATTATGACACCCTGCCATTGTGACTTACTGAGGTTGTTCTTAACAGACATTTCTCATCTAATGGTGTTATTATTTGAATACATGTGTTGTGTCTGATGTTTCTGAAGAGCAAGTTGTACATACATACGATCAACTCTCTGTTTGAGGAACTATTTTATTCCGCGATACAGCTGGTTGTTGTATGGCAGTCAGTGTAAACATGAAGTCACACGTACTTAATAAAATTGTGTATAGATCTAGGCCTATATCCTTTGAGGTAAGAAATTGTGATAAAAATTATAAGCATTGACTTTCACTTTGTGTGAGTTCATTGGAGTATGAACCTTCATAGAGTGAGGGACAAACATTGTATGAACGTCGTCACAAGCTCCAATGAACTCACACAAAGTGAAAGTCAATTCTTAAACACACCATTTTAAAAGAATCAATCAATATTAATTTTTACAGTTAATAATTCTATATGTCTCTTGGAAATGCCAATTATATTTTACTAGTATTTCTACAAATTTAACACTCTCTACAGGGTGTGAGTCTTTTTCAAACATGCCTTGAACTAATGCATACATGTATAGGAATCTCTATCAAATCCACCTTCAACCAACAGATAAACAGAATGTGAACTGCTACCTTAAGGTAACCCACCAAGGTGTATCTATACAGAGGTGCATGGTAATGAACCAACCTCAGTGTGCATGTTTGTTGTTTGTTGTTTAACACCGCACTCAGCAATATTCAAGCTATATGATGGCGACCAGGTGCCTGGTAACGGAATAAGTGGAACAAGCTATCCCACCTGTATGTGTGTATGGTAACGGGTGTATGGTAACGGACTGGGTGCAGCAAGGTTACCCACCTCGGTGTGTATGGTAACGGACTGGGTGCAGCAAGGTTACCCACCTCGGTGTGTATGGTAACAGACAAGGTGCTCCAAGGTAACCCACCTCAGTGTGTATGTACACAGGTGCATGGTAACAGACTGGGTGCAGCAAGGTAACCCACCTCAGTGTGCATGGTACAGACAAGGTGCTCCAAGGTAACCCACCTCAGTGTGTATCTACACAGGTGCATGGTAACAGACTGGGTGCAGCAAGGTAACCAACCTCGGTGTGTATGGTAACAGACAAGGTGCTTCAAGGTAACCCACCTCGGTGTGTATGGTAACAGACAAGGTGCTCCAAGGTAACCCACCTCAGTGTGCATGGTAGTGGACTGGGTGCAGCAAGGTAACCCACCTCGGTGTGTATGGTAGTGGACTGGGTGCAGCAAGGTAACCCACCTCGGTGTGTATGGTAACAGACTGGGTGCAGCAAGGTAACCCACCTCGGTGTGTATGGTAACAGACTGGGTGCAGCAAGGTAACCCACCTCGGTGTGTATGGTAACAGACTGGGTGCAGCAAGGTAACCCACCTCGGTGTGTATGGTAACAGACTGGGTGCAGCAAGGTAACCCACCTCGGTGTGTATGGTAATGGACTGGGTGCAGCAAGGTAACCCACCTCGGTGTGTATGGTAACAGACTGGGTGCAGCAAGGTAACCCACCTCGGTGTGTATGGTAACAGACTGGGTGCAGCAAGGTAACCCATCTCGGTGTGTATGGTAACAGACTGGGTGCAGCAAGGTAACCCATCTCGGTGTGTATGGTAATGGACTGGGTGCAGCAAGGTAACCCATCTCGGTGTGTATGGTAACAGACTGGGTGCAGCAAGGTAACCCACCTCGGTGTGTATGGTAGTGGACTGGGTGCAGCAAGGTAACCCACCTCGGTGTGTATGGTAGTGGACTGGGTGCAGCAAGGTAACCCACCTCGGTGTGTATGGTAACAGACTGGGTGCAGCAAGGTAACCCACCTCGGTGTGTATGGTAATGGACTGGGGGCAGCAAGGTAACCCACCTCGGTGTGTATGGTAACAGACTGGGTACAGCAAGGTAACCCACCTCGGTGTGTATGGTAACAGACTGGGTGCAGCAAGGTAACCCACCTCGGTGTGTATGGTAATGGACTGGGTGCAGCAAGGTAACCCACCTCGGTGTGTATGGTAACAGACTGGGTGCAGCAAGGTAACCCACCTCGGTGTGTATGGTAACAGACTGGGTGCAGCAAGGTAACCCACCTCGGTGTGTATGGTAATGGACTGGGTGCAGCAAGGTAACCCACCTCGGTGTGTATGGTAATGGACTGGGGGCAGCAAGGTAACCCACCTCGGTGTGTATGGTAATGGACTGGGGGCAGCAAGGTAACCCATCTCGGTGTGTATGGTAACAGACTGGGTACAGCAAGGTAACCCACCTTGGTGTGTATGGTAACAGACTGGGTGCAGCAAGGTAACCCACCTCGGTATGTATGATAACAGACTGGGTGCAGCAAGGTAACCCACCTTGGTGTGTATGGTAACAGACTGGGTGCAGCAAGGTAACCCACCTCGGTGTGTATGGTAGTGGACTGGGTGCAGCAAGGTAACCCACCTCGGTGTGTATGGTAATGGACTGGGTGCAGCAAGGTAACCCACCTTGGTGTGTATGGTAGTGGACTGGGTGCAGCAAGGTAACCCACCTCGGTGTGTATGGTAATGGACTGGGTGCAGCAAGGTAACCCACCTCGGTGTGTATGGTAATGGACTGGGTGCAGCAAGGTAACCCACCTCGGTGTGTATGGTAACAGACTGGGTGCAGCAAGGTAACCCACCTCGGTATGTATGGTAACAGACTGGGTGCAGCAAGGTAACCCACCTCGGTGTGTATGGTAATGGACTGGGTGCAGCAAGGTAACCCACCTCGGTGTGTATGGTAACAGACTGGGTGCAGCAAGGTAACCCACCTCGGTGTGTATGGTAATGGACTGGGTGCAGCAAGGTAACCCACCTCGGTGTGTATGGTAACAGACTGGGTGCAGCAAGGTAACCCACCTCAGTGTGTATGGTAACAGACTGGGTGCACCAAGGTAACCCACCTCGGTGTGTATGGTAACAGACTGGGTGCAGCAAGGTAACCCATCTCGGTGTGTATGGTAACAGACTGGGTACAGCAAGGTAACCCACCTCGGTGTGTATGGTAACAGACTGGGTGCAGCAAGGTAACCCACCTCGGTGTGTATGGTAATGGACTGGGTGCAGCAAGGTAACCCACCTCGGTGTGTATGGTAACAGACTGGGTGCAGCAAGGTAACCCACCTCAGTGTGTATGGTAATGGACTGGGTGCAGCAAGGTAACCCACCTCGGTGTGTATGGTAATGGACTGGGTGCAGCAAGGTAACCCACCTCAGTGTGTATGGTAATGGACTGGGTGCAGCAAGGTAACCCACCTCGGTGTGTATGGTAATGGACTGGGTGCAGCAAGGTAACCCACCTCGGTGTGTATGGTAACAGACTGGGTGCAGCAAGGTAACCCACCTCGGTGTGTATGGTAATGGACTGGGTGCAGCAAGGTAACCCACCTCGGTGTGTATGGTAATGGACTGGGTGCAGCAAGGTAACCCACCTCGGTGTGTATGGTAACAGACTGGGTGTAGCAAGGTAACCCACCTCGGTGTGTATGGTAATGGACTGGGGGCAGCAAGGTAACCCACCTCGGTGTGTATGGTAATGGACTGGGGGCAGCAAGGTAACCCACCTCGGTGTGTATGGTAATGGACTGGGTGCAGCAAGGTAACCCACCTCGGTGTGTATGGTAACAGACTGGGTGTAGCAAGGTAACCCACCTCGGTGTGTATGGTAATAAACTAGGGGCAGCAAGGTAACCCACCTCAGTTTCCTTGTCAGGTGACATGAAGTAAATGTTTGATCCTTCATCAGCAGGGATATCAGAGAGATATGTCACTCCACTGGAGAGAAAATAAAGATTTCATGACAAGCTATCAGGTCTAAATATGGCTTAAACAAAATAAAAGAATTGGTTCTCAGACAATGAATTTTGAAAATATTGTGAGGGCGTGCAGTGCTTTTTTTTTTTTTGCTTGTTCAAACTAGTATGTACCCAAACAAACAGTTGTGAACCATCAACCTGGGAAAGGGCCTCCCTACATAAACAAGCATACAAACTCCTATTGCTGCCATGACCACTTACAAAGCAGTGTGCATGTAAAGGGAAGTAACTGTGCGCTTATACTGGATTGCATTGTTGTTAAGTATTAGAATTTTTATATTTCTTTGAAAATGGAAATAAAAATGAAATGTGCGGCAGTGCCTGAGAACCAAGAGTATTATTTTTTTTAGCCTATATTAGGATAACGTTACACATTTCTTTGATTACATAAACTACATGACAGAATCCATAACTTGATCAACAGTATTCAGTTAGTGAAAACTGTCACAGAAATTGTCTGATAAGAAACTGATTTCCCTACTTACTTTTTAAATGCTGACAACTGTTGGCAACAAAAGTTACTTTGCAAGAAAATCAAAGCCTGTGTCTGGCATACTAGTCATTACAAAAATCACGGGTTGCAGCGATGGCAGTCAAATTCCAACAAAACCTCCAAGTAGTCTGTCTCACATGGCTGCAAATAACCATTAATCACCTTTCTGTTCATTACATGATATACTGAGGGAGGAAAGAACTCATTCTTGACACTCATCATTTACTGAGTAACACCTTGACCATGCATTGACCAAGGTTGTCATCTAGGAAGAAAGAAAGCTACTGACATGTATTCCTCATCCCCTATGTTGGATGGCAATTCGTCTACACATGATCCACTCTCCTGGGGTATGCACCCATCAAAGGAAGATGCTGCAACAGGAACAGGAACAATCACTGACACATTTCAACGGGAACAATCACTGACACATTTCAACGGGAACAATCACTGACACATTTCAATAGGAAAAATCACTGACACATTTCAACGGGAGCAATCACTGACACATTTCAACAGGAAAAATCACTGACATATTTCTACAGGAAAAATCACTGACATATTTCTACAGGAAAAATCACTGACACATTTCTACAGGAAAATTACACACTTCAACAGTAAGAATCATAGACACGCTTCAACATGAACAATCACTGACACATTTCTACAGGAAAATGACACACTTCAACAGTAAGAATCATAGACACGCTTCAACAGGAACAATCACTGACACATTTTAACAGAAGCAATCACTGACACGCTTCAACAGGAACATGACAGACTTCAACAGGAACAACACACATTGACAGGAACAATCACTGACACATTTTAACAGAAGCAATCACTGACACATTTCAATGGGAGCAATCACTGACACATTTCAACAGGAACATGACACACTTCAACAGGAACAATCACTGACATGCTTCAACAGGAGTGATCACTGACATGCTTCAGCAGGAACAATCACTGATACACTTCAACACGAATATGACACACTTCAACAGGAACAATCACTGACACACTTCAACAGGAACATGACACACTTCAACAGGAACAATCACTGACATGCTTCAACAGAAACATGACACACTTCAACAGGAACATGACACACTTCAACAGGAACAATCACTGACATGCTTCAACAGGAACAATCAGTGACACGCTTCAACAGGAAGATGACACACTTCAATAGGAACAATCCCTGACACGCTTCAACAGTAACAATCACTGACACGATTCAACAAGAACAATCACTGACACGCTTCATCAAGAACAATCACTGACATGCTTCAACAAGAACAATCATTGACATAGACACAAATAATGCTGTGCCAAAAGATTTGTATGAATGATTAGTGTAAACACACATGGCACCATTAATAAAAATTAAGTGTGAATTGTGCAATGTGCACAACTTTCCCAATCACTGTGACTTTGGTTTGTGTGCCAACATATTGCAAGAATGCGAGGAGTTCTGAGCCTAACTATGGTGGACTGTGTTGATGGAGTTGGTTGCTGATTATTTTTCAATATAACATCATATATAACATCATTACCATCATCATTTGCATAATGTTGCCAGACAGTTCTTTCTTCAAGTTTGGGAAGTGGTGGAAATCTGAAGGTGCCAAATTTGGTGAATATGGAGGATGTTTAAGGAGTTCTAAGCCACAGCACCTATGGTGACTTGTGCACAGGTGCAGTTGTCCTGGTGGAACAACAAACCCTATGTGAGTTTAAACATTAGATGTTTCACTGCTTTGACTGTTATTTAATCTCTGGCTGAATGTGGTGAACACAAGACCTATCCATCCAGCTTAATTAGAGTGACAAGCATCCAGCTTGAAGTTTGAAGACAATATGAAGTTACCAAACACTATCAACATGATCAAGGGTTGCTAATCACGCTAAATTTTCATTGAATATTGTAGAGATTCTCTTGTTTACTGAACAACAAAACTTTGGAAAACAAAGTAAACTGGTTTCCAATTCTTGCATCTGAAAGAAAGGTGAGGTTTTCATGGTGACAATTTCCAATCTGACCAGTACATTTATTAAGTAGTGTCATGATAATACCTACCGTCAAGGCCTTTCTCAGGCCCCCAGCACACTATAGATGTATGCTTGAAGAACAACCTTGTCAAGTTGTAATACTTCATTATGTAGTGGCGAGTTGTCTCGGAAATACGAAGCAAGAAGCGTAATGAGACCTCATTGTTCAAATCCTCTGTCTCCAACATCTACAGAAAGAATTAAACAACATTATCGGTTTACAGGTGTAAGAATCTGGAGATAACAGGTCCAGTGAGTGAGTGAGTTAAATCTGGAGATGACGGGGAACAGAGGGACAAGAATCTGGAGATAACGGGAACAGAGAGACAAGAATCTGGAGATAACGGGAACAGAGAGACAAGAATCTGGAGATGACGGGGAACAGAGGGACAAGAATCAGGAGATAACGGGAACAGAGAGACAAGAATATGGAGATGACGGAGAACAGAGGAACAAGAATCTGGAGATGAGTGAGAACAGAGGGACAAGAATCTGGAGATGACGGGGAACAGAGGGACGGGAATCTGGGGATAACAGGAACAGAGAGACAAGAATCTGGAGATGACGGGGAACAGAGGGACAAGAATCTGGAGATGACTGAGAACAGAGGGACAAGAATCTGGAGATCACGGAGAACAGAGGGACAAGAATCTGGAGATGACGGGGAACAGAGAGACGGGAATCTGGGGATAACAGGAACAGAGAAACAAGAATCTGGAGATGACGGGGAACAGAGGGACAAGAATCTGGAGATGACTGAAAACAGAGGGACAAGAATCTGGAGATGACGGAGAACAGAGGGACAAGAATCTGGAGATGACGGGGAACAGAGGGACAAGAATCTGGAGATGACTGAGAACAGAGGGATGGGAATCTGGGGATAACAGGAACAGAGGGACAAGAATCTGGAGATGAGGGGGAACAGAGGGACAAGAATCTGGAGATCACGGAAAACAGAGGGACAAGAACCTGGAGATGATGGGAACAAAGCGACAAGAATCTGGAGACAACAGGAACAGAGGGACAAGAATCTAAAGGTAACAGGAACAGAGAGACAAGAATCTGGAGATGACGGGGAACAGAGGGACAAGAATCTGGAGATGACTGAAAACAGAGGGACAAGAATCTGGAGATGACGGAGAACAGAGGGACAAGAATCTGGAGATGACGGGGAACAGAGGGACAAGAACCTGGAGATGATGGGAACAAAGCGACAAGAATCTGGAGACAACAGGAACAGAGGGACAAGAATCTAAAGGTAACAGGAACAGAGAGACAAGAATCTGGAGATGACGGGGAACAGAGGGACAAGAATCTGGAGATGACTGAGAACAGAGGGACAAGAATCTGGAGATCACGGAGAACAGAGGGACAAGAATCTGGAGATGACGGGGAACAGAGAGACGGGAATCTGGGGATAACAGGAACAGAGAGACAAGAATCTGGAGATGACGGGGAACAGAGGGACAAGAATCTGGAGATGACTGAAAACAGAGGGACAAGAATCTGGAGATGACGGAGAACAGAGGGACAAGAATCTGGAGATGACGGGGAACAGAGGGACAAGAATCTGGAGATGACTAAGAACAGAGGGATGGGAATCTGGGGATAACAGGAACAGAGGGACAAGAATCTGGAGATGAGGGGGAACAGAGGGACAAGAATCTGGAGATCACGGAAAACAGAGGGACAAGAACCTGGAGATGATGGGAACAAAGCGACAAGAATCTGGAGACAACAGGAACAGAGGGACAAGAATCTAAAGGTAACAGAAACAGAGAGACAAGAATCTGAGATAACGGGAACAGAGATACAAGAATCTGGAGATGATGGGAACAGAGGGACAAGAATCTGGAGATGATGGGAACAGAGGTACAAGAATCTGGAGATGATGGGAACAAAGAGACAACAATCTGGAGACAACAGGAACATAGGGATAAAAATCTGCAGATAACGGGACCAGAGGGACAAGATAACGGGAACAGAGGGACAAGAATCTTAATTTAGCAGGCACATGGACTTCATATAAGGAGATAATGAATCATGAAGCAGAGAGGAGTTTGAGATATGAATTGTTCGGAATCTAACTGTGCACATAGCATATCATCTTGAATCTACCGGGCACTCTAAAGTCATGGTTACCTCTTTCGCATCAGTAATAGTCACCACTTTGGCTCCATACTTGTTAGCTTTCTTTTTCTGAAAAACACAAAAGTATCAATCGTATTCATCATAAAACTTTTATCATCTTTGAGGAATCATGGGTCAACTTGTGTCCACACTTTTGTTACAATATGGAGAACCAGACTAGGAATCTTTCAGCACATATGTTGACAAATTGTTAAAATCTGCAGAATGTGACATGAACCCAGGGCGAATAGGTCTAGTCAGCCCGTGTGGCTCGAGGGCTGGTCATCTCTCAGGCAATGAAGCAAATCAGCATAGTAGGCATCGTCTTCTTAATTTCTAAGAAATCAACAAGGATCATACCCTTTGCGTCCTAGAATACGGTGGCCATAATTTTCTTCACTGATCTCAAAGACTTAAATTTCTTTGGTGCCGGAGAAGTGGAATGGTGCCATTCCATGAATTGACGTTTTGACTCGGGATCATAATGGTAGACCCATGTTTCATCACACATTACTAATCTTCTTTTGCATACTGACGAAATTCTACTCAATTAGTTCAAAATTTTCACTGGCAATGTCACTTTTTGTTACCTTAAGTTCAGAATTTAGAAACTTTGGCAAGCAAGGAGCAGATATCTTTTTCATCTGTAAATGTTCATGAATAATAGTTTCATTGCATCCATGGCTTAGACCTGTGTCTTCCTTAAGTTCAGCAATGGTTATACGTCTATCTGATAGTATAAGTTTCTCTTTCTCCTTCATTGAATCTTCATTGATGGAAGTTGAGGGACATCCAGACCAAGGGTCACCATCAAGGCTTGTTTACCCAGCCTTAAACATAGCTTCCCAACTTTCAAAAGTGGAATATCTAGGGCACTTATCCCCATACACTTGTGACATGACGTCATGAATTTCTTGGTGGGTATTTTTCTCTTAGTCAAAAACTTGAAGACTGCTCTGTACTCGTTCTTTTCCATTTCTGTGTCCATTTTGAACCAATCGTGTTCAATTGGCTGTCACTAATATACAAACAGCCTCAACAGACCAAATACACTTGCAATCAACTACTCAAACAATGTACTATAATGACAAGTTCACTTTGCTATGCCCCACAGTTGAAAGTTAGTCAGGCATAGAAATTTTTGACCAGACCTCACATGAACGTACCAACATGACAAGTGTGCCACACCCCCCACTAAATACTAGTGGGTTTTTTCTGGCCATACTAAAAATATACCATTGTGGTACAACATCATGGAAGATTAAAGTAACTCGCCTGCATCGATAATAGCGAGGAGGTCAAAGTCATTTTCACTCTGATGACATCACTTCCAGTCTAATCAACTCCTTTTTTGGTTTGGGAAGCACATGGCCAAATGCAGTACAAAGAAACAGAAAAGACTGCCACTAGCTATCTTCACAACAAAGTCATTCTGCACTTCCAGTTTCATAACAGCACTTACACTTTGGGAGAAATGCCCAATGCAAAAATGAAACAAAAGACGATGCTATGGTTTCAGAACAGTACATTATCTTGGACACTGACAGATTTCCATAAAAAATGTCTTAAAGAAATTTTACAAATTTGCTAATGATGTAGAGAAATGTCCCATAAAAAGTTGATAAAATCACTGCTATGCCTCTGGCTACTGTAACCATGTCAACCTGCTGAATTTCTAGCACACTATGAACCCTGCCTACTGGATGAATTTCAGCTTAAGGAACTGTAACAGGGTGGGTGACTTCAAACATTCAAAGCTTAATTAAACAAGGGACAAATAAATCAACATTTCGCTCATCAATATTTCCCCCAAATTGTTGTTTCTTTTATCTGCAAACAACATTACTAGTGAAATGAGCAACACACTACTCACATGAGCCCGACAAGGAAGAGAACACCACACGACTAACATGAACTAGACAAGGAAGTGAACAACACACTACTCACATGAACTAGACAAGGAAGTGAACAACACACTACTCACATGAACTAGACAAGGAAGTGAACAACACACTACTCACATGAACTAGACAAGGAAGTGAACAACACACTACTCACATGAACTAGACAAGGAAGTGAACAACACACTACTCACATGAACTAGACAAGGAAGTGAACAACACACGACTCACATGAACTAGACAAAGAAGAGAACACCACACGACTAACATGAACTAGACAAGGAAGTGAACAACACACTACTCACATGAACTAGACAAGGAAGTGAACAACACACTACTCACATGAACCAGACAAGGAAGAGAACAACACACTACTCACATGAACTAGACAAGGAAGAGAACAACACACTACTCACATGAACTAGACAAGGAAGTGAGCAACACACTACTCACATGAACTAGACAAGAAAGTGAACAACACACAACTCACATGAACTAGACAAGGAAGTGAACAACACACTACTCACATGAACTAGACAAGGAAGAGAACAACACACTGCTCACATGAACGAGACAAGGAAGTGACACTACTCACATGAATTAGACAAGGAAGTGACACTACTCACATGAACTAGACAAGGAAGAGAACAACACACTGCTCACATGAACGAGACAAGGAAGTGACACTACTCACATGAAATAGACAAGGAAGTGACACTACTCACATGAACTAGACAAGGAAGAGAACAACACACTGCTCACATGAACGAGACAAGGAAGTGACACTACTCACATGAACTTGAAAAGGAAGAGAACACACGACTAACATGAACTAGACAAGGAAGAGAACAACACACTGCTCACATGAACGAGACAAGGAAGTGACACTACTCACATGAACTAGACAAGGAAGAGAACACACTACTAACATGAACTAGACAAGGAAGAGAACAACACACTGCTCACATGAACAAGACAAGGAAGTGACACTACTCACATGAACTAGACAAGGAAGTGACACTACTCACATGAACTAGACAAGGAAAAGAACAACACACTACTCACATGAACTAGACAAGGAAGAGAACAACACACTGCTCACATGAACCAGACAAGGAAGTGACACTACTCACATGAACTAGACAAGGAAGAGAACAACACACGACTAACATGAACTAGACAAGGAAGAGAACAACACACTGCTCACATGAACGAGACAAGGAAGTGACACTACTCACATGAACTAGACAAGGAAGAGAACAACACACGACTAACATGAACTAGACAAGGAAGAGAACAACACACCACTCACATGAACCCAACAAGGAAGAGAACAACACACGACTAACATGAACTAGACAAGGAAAAGAACAACACACTACTCACATGAACTAGACAAGGAAGAGAACAACACACTACTCACATGAACTTGACAAGGAAGAGAACACACGACTAACATTAACTAGACAAGGAAGAGAACAACACACCGCTCACATGAACTAGACAAGGAAGTGACACTACTCACATGAACTAGACAAGGAAGTGACACTACTCACATGAACTAGACAAGGAAAAGAACAACACACTACTCACATGAACTAGACAAGGAAGAGAACAACACACTGCTCACAGGAACGAGACAAGGAAGTGACACTACTCACATGAACTAGACAAGGAAGAGAACAACACACGACTAACATGAACTAGACAAGGAAGAGAACAACACACTACTCACATGAACCCAACAAGGAAGAGAACAACACACTACTCACATGAACTAGACAAGGAAGTGAGCAACACACTACTCACATTAACTAGACAAGGAAGAGAACAACACACTACTCACATGAACCAGACAAGGAAGAAAACAACACACTACTCACATGAACCAGACAAGGAAGAGAACAACACACTACTCACATGAACTAGACAAGGAAGAGAACACCACACTACTCACATGAACCAGACAAGGAAGAAAACAACACACTACTCACATGAACCAGACAAGGAAGAGAACAACACACTACTCACATGAACTAGACAAGGAAGAAAACAACACACTACTCACATGAACCAGACAAGGAAGAAAACAACACACTACTCACATGAACCAGACAAGGAAGAGAACAACACACTACTCACATGAACTAGACAAGGAAGAGAACACCACACTACTCACATGAACCAGGCAAGGAAGAAAACAACACACTACTCACATGAACCAGACAAGGAAGAGAACAACACACTACTCACATGAACTAGACAAGGAAGAAAACAACACACTACTCACATGAACCAGACAAGGAAGAAAACAACACACTACTCACATGAACTAGACAAGGAAGAGAACAACACACTACTCACATGAACCAGACAAGGAAGAAAACAACACACTACTCACATGAACCAGACAAGGAAGAAAACAACACACTACTCACATGAACTAGACAAGGAAGAAAACAACACACTACTCACATGAACTAGACTGATGAGCTCAAGGCACTGCTCCTTCCTTAAGAAGCCATCAGCTGCAAACCGCTTTTCCCCCTTCAGTTGGTCTCCATGGGAAACTATTTTCAGCCCAATTCTCTCGTACTGTTTCATCCAGAAGGTATTGTGCTTCTCCTCTTCATTTGTAGTCTTTACTCCACTTTCTTCCAGTGGCTTCTGTGATGGACAATACAATGTAATGATATTGATCATTTAATCACAGCCCTGAAAACCATAAATTGTAGGCACATCCAGTGTTTGTTACAAAATAAATGTTACTGTAGCAAGCTCGCAAGTCTTTCAATTTCCGAATGACCTTGACATACAATTCAGACAGCAATAACAGAAAGTGCTTATGTATTATAAATACTAAAAAATGGTTGGTATGGATTCTGTTGTGGAGGGTATTAAACACTCATTTATTTGGGTTCATGGTACATGAACACTTCATATCAACTCACCATATTCTGTTTAAAAAATATCCCATAGATCATGGCCCTTGCCACATGTGAGAAACTGAATTAGGACAAGTCAACTTAAAATCATCAGCTTAGCATTTTTGTTTGTTGGACCAAACACACTTTATTTTGTTCTCTAGGGCCAATATTTGTAGTCTTTATACACTGAAGAAGTGTTCTTATTTGTATGGTTATGTATCTTACCTAGTTTCTTCATCCCTTTAGTTCCCCGGTAATATTTGATTTTAAGACAATCACATTCAGTACCCAGTATTTCAAATGGTTGACATTTGTTCTGTTGTCTTCCACTACGTTACAAACCATATGTTTTCACAATAAAGTACACAAACCAAGCTTATTTGACATCGAGTGACCATGACCTTCAATGTATTTTCCAGGGATATATAGCAGGTATGTCAGTATGAGTGACTGATCTACTGGTAATCATGGTAATTGTAAAGAATTTGTTTTGGCACAAAGTTCAGCAAGTTCACGGCATTAAGACCTCCTATGTTTTTCACTGTTTTCATGAACTTTTATTTCCCGGAGCCTAAACAATTTCAAGCCAGTTCTGAAAGAATTCAGCCTTCCACTTCTGTCAAATTTTTGACAAATACAACAGTACATGAAGCTTTCAGTTTCTTCATAATGAAGCCAGTCTCTGCAGCCCTTTTTATAATGTTTTCACCTTCTTCTTTACATCATTACTGATACCCCAGGGACACAGGCTTACATTACATGTTGAAGCGTTTGTGTCAGCAGTGTGGCAGTAGCAGATTTTACAGACCTCTTGTATTTGACATTGAAATTCAATGAAGGTCACTCAAAGTTTTATAAAACAAAATGTAAGCCCCACTATAAGAATATGTATCAATTTTTTTCCTACATTTCTTGAGTTATTTCAAACTTAATACATTTTTGAGTGTTTGACCTCGAGAGTGAACTTAAGCATTCCAAAGGAATATCCTGAAAATTAACCAATTATGGTGCCCCAAGGTGGAATATCAAAGTAACAATGAAACATAAGCACATACAACTCATTGTGGGCAGATCACAGTGACCTGTTACTGACATCACAAGTCTGTCATCACTTGTGATACAGACCTGTGAAGATCCAGGGTAGAATAGGTCTTCAGCACCCCATGCATGCCATAGAAGGCGACTATGCTTGTCGTAAGAGGTGACTATGCTTGTCGTAAGAGGTGACTATGCTTGTCGTAAGAGGTGACTATGCTTGTCGTAAGAGGTGACTATGCTTGTCGTAAGAGGCGACTATGCTTGTCGTAAGAGGTGACTATGCTTGTCGTAAGAGGTGACTAATGGGATCAGTTGGTCAGGCTCGCTGACTTGGTTGATGCAATTTTATATATTGATGCTCATGATATCAATCATTGGATTGTCTGGTCCAGACTCAATTACTTGAGGCATCAAACAACAAACAACATTCACCTAAAGAAAAGGTTTCTTGAGTATTTTCTTTCATGCCATTACTTTGAGGATGACCTTGACCCCTGACATGGTTTGTCAAAGTGTACCAAAAGGGTAGACACATAAATTTACTGTAGGCCATAAGGACCTATACAACTTTGAAACTACAGGCCCGACACACAAGATCTACCTGCCAGTGGCCTAAGGGCATATATATATTTCACACATATCTGACTGGTAAATGTGTTTAACACAGTATGGGCACTGTACAGCATATTCAGTCTTACCACCAAGTCGCCTGTATCCTTCAAATAATTTGTTTGGGAGAAGTCCAGTATCCTCTCCATTTGATGTTTCCTTTCCAGATAGACAACTGCTTGCTGAAATGATGAATAGCTGACATTAAAGAAAGAGGATTATCTGATACCATAGACTCCGAAGAAGACTAACACTTAGTCAGTGAAAACATGTTTTTAAAAGAATTTTTTTCTTTGAAAGGACATTTCCTCTTCTGCTGTTTTCATATGTGGAATCAAGCAAACTAGACTTGGTTAGTTTGATCTAGACTTGCCTAGGCTTTTAGCAAAAAAAATACCTAAAAAATATCCACAGTCAGGGTGCAGGACTAACACCAAAGCAATTTGGAGCAAAATAGTGCCACGGCACTGTACCACACTTTAATATGTCTACGGTTAAAGAAGCAAAGGAAAGGGGAAAAAAGGCATGCTAAAAATCCAGCTCCCAAAAAGGTTTACAGAGCCAAATATTCATTTTGAAAGAATTTAAGAGCATAGTCATGGTCAAAATTCAAAATATTGTAAAAAAGGAACATGTATGTCAGTTGAGCCCACTACTAACAGCACAATTCCATTTTGAACAAATATAACCTAGTAATGGCTATACATCTGTCATACCAAATCTATACCAAATCCATGCAGAAGTTTGATAACTTGCAAAGAACAGCTATAGGAAGTACCGACAAATTGTGCCTAGCATAAAGTCTTGGGCTTAGTTGCAACGTATATTGCTACATTAACAAGAAAGTAACAAGTACTTCCGGTTTAATTTTGGAAACACATATGTCTAATACTAGCTTACTTAAAAACAGAAAGTTATATGTCCTTCCCATATAATGACCCTCTATTACAGCCTTAACATATGACCTTGACAGGAACAAATTACAGATTTTTTCCAAATAATTTGTTTTATAAATCTAGCTTCATCAATAGACGGATGGTTTGGAAAAGGGCAAGGTAGATCCAAGGTAACCTATCTCCACTCCCTAATTTATGTAAATTTTCATTGGCTTGATTTATCACTTCCTTTGCATAACTTGGCCATGGGAGCCAAAGTTAATGGGCCATGGCAGCCAGAGCATTGAAGCACCTGAGGTGCAAACTGTTCATCTGGTTTAGGTTGAAAGTCTTGCATAAGGTGGTAAATCTCCTTAAGTCAATCTTTATGGCAAAACAAAGACCTTAAAGGAGACCGGTGGCCTTCCTCACACTACATGCAATTAGTTGGACAATGGTGCACAATGGCCACTATGAACACTGTACGGCCATACAGGGCTAAAAGAAATTCTCAAATACAACTTGTCCTACAGGGCAAGTAGATATTATTTTCTACTCGTCCTGCGATGTTTTCACTTGCCCTTATAAAATTTATAAAGTTTCATATTCTCGGTTATTATTACCATTTTCTGCAATTAACCTTTTAAAGTAAAAATTCACAAATATCTTCAGTGATTTTGCATGATCTTGTGCTGACTGAAGTTAATTCATAACTTGTTCATTTTCACAGCAATGAACTTATTTCCTACTTTTCCCTTGACATCTTCATTTTTCATTTCTGAACTTATTGTTTAACCCAATCACCGGTCAAGAATTTGGATCTGATGGTTGAGGATATTTGACACTGGCAGTGACTGGTCAAATTGTTCCATACATAAAAATATCTAGCAATAGCAATCAGCTGTACAAAATTGCTTCACTTATGGTTATTTTTATTTCAAATATATATAGTAAAGCTGCAACGAAAATGAAATGATATTGGAATATATTATTCCTGATAAAATAATAGTTTCAGATACAATTCTGCCAATCATTTGCATCAATATTCTTTGAAGTTTTATTATTGGATAATTTTTAAAAATGTGTACAGCTGATTGCTGTTTCCGGCTAAGTTTACGAGAAAATACACACAGTAATCTTAATCTTTGCATATAAAACAATGCCTAGCAGAACAGGAAATACACTTTAAACGGTACATAATATTGTCTAGTGATGTTTTATCTCAAATGTGTATTGAGCAAGTTTGTTATCACCCAATCGCTTACCTGCATGAATTCGGTGGAGGGACATGATGTCATTTTTTTCTGTGCATAATACTCGCATATTTGTTTCCAAAATACTGAATCACCTACAAGGGTGCACATAATGGCACACTTCTTTCTTGCCCTGCACAAGTGGACTTTTCGAGCTCTGGCTCTTTTGTTAGTTTGAAGCAAGCTGAGGGTCTGAACTGACATTCTCTACTGCCACCAAGGGTGGTGTGGAGACCGTGCAATGACCATGTGGTAGCCGTAAGGTACAACTAGATGCTGCATTCAAGGTCCTGATGAGCGTGGGTGGTTTAAGTTCATGAATCCAACTAATACACCTGCTGCATGGAGACCGCACTGGTCAAGCGGGCATCCCCAAATCAGTCACTTCAAAATTTTATTGAGAACCCAGGACCAATGGTCTACTGTGTCTGGCAAACTCTTCTGTGTCGCTGTGGATAGTGACATAATACCCTAAATCCCCCTTTGGCCTCACTTCTGGGTCTGCTGCTGCCTGATAGATGCCATTTCTTCTGAAATGGTAGTCAGACGTCTGTAACAAAGTCAGCATGTCATCTTGCTGATTCTTCATTAACTGATCAAAAACATTGAGGAAGCGCCGGGCTGGGAAACACACTGAGACCATCTAGCTTCAACTGATCACAGAGGATCTTGCACTTCCAGAAGGATGTGTGTGGATCTCCAGTGATATTGAACTTCCACACTCTGCATGCACCTGGCGAAAGCGGCGGAGGAGACACCATTCTTTCCCACAATACACCACCAGATCCCACAACTACTCAGCCGTAAATAAGATACTAATAGTGACTAGTACTAATACAGTGTGACAAACTACCAAAATGTACAAAAATAAATTCACAGGAAAGAAGTGATATTTCCCGACTTGTGCAGGTGCAAGAGCCTTTGGGCAACAGGATAGTATTTCCTGCACAACTGTATATGGATAGCCATCAGTGAGGAGGATTTCTGTTGAAAATCAGAAGATTTTAAAGATGACAGCCAAAATACAGGATTTATGGTAGTGATGTAATATGGGTAGGATATTTGCAGGAATTTGTATGTTACTTCCCCTCCCACATACTTTGTTCATATCATTTTCATAACAATACATGTAGAAATGGCACAGTAATTTTCAATATGGCCTCTATGGCATTCCAAAATTTTTGTGAGCAATTTTAGACACCATAGTGGAGATCAAAGTTTCAGCCCCCACAACCCGAGTAATTTTCATCAAGGAGATGTTGAAAAAGTGAAAGTTCATAACAGGCAGACAACCAGATGATGGGCAATGCACCACAATGTAAGCTCACTTGACTTTCAGCCAGGTGAGCTAACTTGCAATATAAGTTCTTTGAAAAACATTTAGAAGTTGATTTGTCATGAACAAAGACAAGTTCTTATTGATAACCAACTTCTTTATTACAAATGTTTCACATGAGATTCTTACACCCTTGTCGCTTGCTTGACAAAAAAGTTTGAATCTACATCCAAACGAACAAGGACAAGTTCTTTTGGATAACAAACTTCTTCATAACAATTGAAGTGACTTTTCTGTATACATTCTAATACCTTCATCATGTGCTGTATAACCCCTCTGACCTTACATCATAGATCATCAAAGACCATCATAGCTCTTGTGGCACCAACAGTATCATCTTCCAGAGGCAAGGGAGTTTACTGACTCTGAAAGTCCTGTTTCAACCCTTGTCGAATTTCTGGGCTTAATCGTAGCGCCAGAGTGGCTATCACTATGTTCCCCCTATTGATCAATCGGATTCCACTTGCACTTGCATTTGCTTCAAACAAAATGGTGGGCCCAGTCGATAATCAAGATCTATATCGTAATAAAACAAGTTTTATTTCACGAAGTGCATCAGATCACGTAAGCACCTTGATAAGAAACATGAAAGGATTAGGAAAATATCTTTTGATGTCGAGTTGGTGGGACATGTGATTAAAAAAATCTTCACGGCAATTGACGAATGTGTATGTCGATTTCGTTACGTTATTTTGTTTGGACTATGTATTGACTCATTAGTCCAGCGAAAATATAACTCCATAATTCCAGCCTTGTTCGGCAAGTGTGGAACCTGAATTTTTATAGTCAGTTAACTCCCTAGCCTCTGGAAGACACAGCAGTATGTTTGTGACAAGGTGACCTGCCAGGAACCCTAATGACAACTAAGTACACAAATACACTCACTTCTCTAGGCTGGAAGTCCTTCTCTGCGTACCCCTTTTGTAGATAGAAGCCCTTGTTCTTCTGCATCGTCTCATCACCAGGTTGAAACAGGAGGAACGTTGCTGCTGCTTCCATGGATTTCTCATCATTCTTTACTGGAACATGGTTATGTATGTGAGAGAGGAATGCTACAGTTACATCATGGGATGTCTAAGAAATTTACTTTAATTTTCATTCCACTCATGAAATTATATGTCCATCACAAAGATTATTTGGAAAAGATGAGCAGACTATGTCCCTACTCAAAACACCTTATTCTAATATGTTTATCTTGGAGAAATCAGGTCTGTACTGAGGCATCCTACTGGACACAATGGAAGCAAAGACTGAAACACATTTGGCACATCAATCTTCATCAATACAGCCAATGAGCATCCAACTTACACTTGTAGTAGGCAAACTGCAGGTAGTGAAAGTGGTCAGCCACATAGTCTTCCATTTCGTCAGTAAATATCCTGCTCAGTCTCCTCTCACAGTTGTACTGACACTCCAGGACAGACAGATAATGGTCTGGAACACAGCACAGATACATCATACAGTCTCCTCCAGGACAGACAGTAGTCTGAAGCACATGCATCATACAGTCTCCCCTCACATTTGTAGTGATACTCCAGGTTGTGGCTTCTGAGGTGATGATGTTTACAATGCAAGGAAATGCATTTTGAGTGAATTTAAGAGTATGTTCCAAAGGTCAAATAAAGGTCAAAATTGAAAATATCGCAAAAAACGGAACCTATTAGTGGGGCTCAGCTAAAACTACAAACTTCATTACATTTTGAACTTAAATAATGTAATGTCAGATTCAAAGTTCTTGAACATCAGGTTCCATATTTGGTGCAAATAAGCATGTGAAGGTTCAGCTTGATTTGTCCAGATCTGAGAAGATGTTGACATGCTGACGCTGACCTTGACGGATGCTGGACAAACAGGCCATGACTTAGGCACACGAGCTACAAATAGAGCCACAAATAGAGCCACAAGGCCCTGTAACTCAACCTTATGTGGTGGCAAAGAACCATCTACTTACGATGAAATTTCACATTGTGCATGAACAACATGGAACTAATGATCTGAATATAGCTATCGTTGAGATGTAAATTTACAGTCTTGAGGCATTGCACCTGAATGCAACATCTAATCACAATGAAGTTTCACATCATGCATGAACAGCATGTGATGCACGTGCACATAGAAGCCAATGTGTGTGCACCCATAACTGTGTGAGCTAAGCACACGCTTACAAATGCCTCAAAGACAGTATCTCAATGAAGAGTCAAAATGGTGAAATGTGGGTACGATAGAGGGGGAACATCACAAGTTGACTGAATGTTTGGTTTCTTGACTGTGGGACATGAATCGTCAAATGGGTTGAGTTGCAGGCCTAAATAAAATGACACCTAGACAAAATCGTCTCATTACATTAATTGCAAATGATTCAAATCTGCCCCTGTTATCAGTAGAGAATTTCGTACAAAAACAGGAAGGAGAATGTCAACATCTGGTGTGGGAACTGATTTGGTTATTGTGAATAGACACTTGACTGACTGGTATGTTGACAAAACTTTGCATCCTGTCATTCCATTTGCTAGAATTAGCGGCAGAAATTTTGAACTGCAAGATGACAATGCCAAAGCATATCGTGCCCAGCTTTGACTGATTATCTCCGCTGAGAAGTTATACGGACATTGGAGTTAAGTACCCTGACTTATCCCCAATACAGCATCTGTAGGATGTTCTCGGGCGAAGAGTGTGCACCAGACACCCAGAACAAGAGACAAATTAGCAAAAACATTGACTTGCACAACTTTGACCTGCTCAAACTTGTTTCGCTATTTTCTCCTTAACCACTAGGTGCAGGATGGTGTGGAATGGGGTTGTGGATAAGCAGTTCCAATTTTGCACCTACTTTGACTAACACTGCCCCTGACAGCATTTCACTTTGGTGACACAAATGTTTATGCTGAAAAGGTGAAAAATGTTGCAGATATGTGTTTGGCCCTTCTTCTAAATACACATATGCCAAATTCACTACTTTTGAAAAAAGATGTCCAAAAATATGAGTTTTAGGATTTCAAAAATAAGGGTTCATGTTCCGTGGCTGGGATATTTAAAACCAATTTCAGTGACACTATACCTGGAATCGGCTTCAGTTTCCACTTAATAGATAGGCCTTGCAGTTTCAGAGGAGTTAATGATAGATGGAAAACTGTACGGATGGATGAAAGGATGAAAGAAAACGTGCCACAACACACACTCACTTGATTTCAGTCAGGTGAGCTAAAAAGATGACACCATAGAATCCTATACACATGGAATACACATAGCACTCACAGCCATATATAGTCTCCCTTTCAACCCAGGGGTATTACCTGAAAAGCTCCATGTATGAAAGCCAGTTGTAAACCAATGCTCCTTCCACTCTTAGAAAGGAGCGAGCATGCATGGTTTCACGCAATCCAAAAGATTTAAAAGCACCTATGTGATAAGCCTGAAGTATAGTGAGAGCCCAAACATGTAATGACTCATATGACAGATAGAGTACTTTTTATAGTTGATATGGTAGAACACACAAAACATCGACTGAAATATGGATAGGTACCTGCCACAGCGCTGACAAACTCCTGTGGTACAGCAGACTCATAGATGGCCTCGCACTCCACGCGACACCTTTCCTCCTCATGGTAAAATTCAGTGATGGCCACCTCCATGTTGGTTTTAACCCCTTCCCAGTCATCACTGTTGTAGGACATGAGCCCACGGACATACGCTTCCTGAAAAAGATGAACAACTATGTAACGCATTATCACTGTTGAAGGGCATCAGCCCTCAGACACGTTTGTAGGACATTAAATGAGCACTCCACTTCATATCAAGTTTATGTCTGATTAGAAACATTCTTAGCTGCCCCAGATTGTGTTCAGTTGAACTCATAACCACCCAGTGAAATATCTTGCGATAGTTGTTAATGTCATTCAACAACCAACAACATCACACTCTGTGGGGGTCACTGAACTGAACAAAAGATAGCATCTACTCACTAACAGTGAAACATTACTGATATAATATTGGCATTACTTATCATATTACACAACCACAACATGCATAGGTATTAAAGAAATGTGAAGAACGAGGAATTTTAGTGAAAATAGCAACTATATTTTACTTATCCGATTCACTGTGGCCTTGACCTCATACGTAGGTCATGCATGACCTCTTCAGACAGAAGGCCTACCCTAAGGATGACTTCTAATCATTTACAGTAGAAGTACAGTGAATGCGTCCGAAGTTATCAGATCAAGATTCTTTGCTTCCTACTATGAACTTGAGGATCTTCAAACCTGACTTGACCAATCAAACAAATTTTATTGCATAATTTCTATGTGTCCTTATGACATGTTTACACATTGGGGGAACCGCCTCATTGGTCTAGTGGTAGAGCGTCCACCCGACTCGAACTCGAAAAAAGGCTCGAACTCCGGCCATGTCATACTAAAAGACATTAAAGGATGGTACTTGTTGTTACCCTGTCTGGCACTCAGCATTTAGGGGCTAAAACAAGGACTCAGTATACTGTGTCTGAGTTGGGTATTCATGTTATTCATTTAGTCAGAAAACATATAAAATAAAAATCACATGCAGTTGGTGCATGAAGACATAAATATTAGGTTGCAGTTTTCAATAATTGGTTGCACTGGTGCACGTTTAAATAGCTATATTGAGCCCTGATATTATACATAGAGATTGAACACACTTGAGCATCTTCACTTCTGACATACGATAACATCCCCATAAAGTACATAGGCCACAAACTTATTTGGGCAGTAAAATATAAAAGCAAACTTTTGTCACAACATAATAATAACTTGTAGTACACACAGAGTATAGTAGGTCACTAACTATTTTTACTTGGTACATGTGTAATCACAAAAGGCCTCGTTGATTCCATTTCTTTAGTTCAGTGGACCAGAAAGATAAATTCTCAAAGAAATCTCATTCACTGGACCCATTAGTCTAAATTGCATATGAAAGATCAATCTTATACTCTAATTTTATCCTGTTAATCTATATGCAAATACATCAGAAATACAATTTTGTGAGTAAGTGAATGAAAAGTAGCATTAGTCAGGTCACAATTTACCCATCAATATATCAAATGCAATACAAATAGACCTAGTCACAATATGTATCCTCACAGAACCTGTTGATACTTGGAATCTTTCCACTGTCTTGTTGTACTTCCTCGATGACTTTGTCGAGCTTGTCATTAAAAACTTTTGTTGCTGAAACCATTCAGACATAACCATCATTTTTGACTGATCGGAAACTGCTCCAGAGCAAACATGGGATAGAAGTTGTTGTCTCTGGGTCTATAGTAGCTGAGATGGCATCCATACTAGGGTAGATAATAAATGATCTTGCATCCATTCAATCGTATCTTCAAAGATTCCTTCATATGAGTCTTGTACTAATGTTAGTCAGATGTTGGATTACACATGTATATATATATATGTGTGATGTCAGACGGTGAGTGCACGAGGAATGACATAATACATTGCGCACCTCAGCATGCAGTTATCATATACACGGCGGAACAAGCCGATTAAACTCGGAATGTTTTACAAATTGCAGCGCCATCTGGCGTTCTTTATTGTCAAAGTCCTTTCATGCTCACTGATGTTCTTTATTGAAAACGTCCTTTCGTGCTCACTGACGTTCTTTAATGAAAACGTCCTTTCGTGCTCACTGACGTTCTTTCGTACACATTGTTCTTTCTTTTCTTATGACGTCTTTTCGTAACATTTGACTATTAATACTGCGTACTTTTGACATTTATTTCAACTTTGTATGTTTAACCCTCGTCAGTTTGTTTTGTATTTTGACCTTTAGTAGTAACATTTAGTTCTTTATTCCTAATATTTGACCTTAATTGCGTACTTTTGTCCTTTTTTTCAACTTTGTATTTTTTTACCGAATGGCCGCCCATAGATTTTGATTTGTTTGTTTGTTGTTTAAGCCTGCACTCAGAAATATTCGAGCTATATGATAGCGGTCTGTAAATAATCGAGTCTGCGCCAGACAATCCAGTGATTGACATCATGAGCATCAATCCACGCAATTGGGATACAATGACATGCATCAACCAAGTCAGCGAGTCTGACCACCCGATCCTGTTAGTCGCCTCTTATGACAAGCATGGTCGCTTTTTACGGCAAGCATGATATATATGTATATATTTTATCAATGTGCACTCATTGAAGATGGAATATCAAAAGAAGCGTTGATTTTTTGTCATTATCTTTCTTCCGCTTGACTAACAATTCTTTTCTGTCGAGTTGTAGTGTTTTTGATATTCCATCTTCAATAAATGCACCTTGACTATGTGCACATTTTCTCAATCTCATTAAAATCAGACCTTAGTTCTCGCAACCGCTAAACAAAGATCTGAGGACATCCCATTACGGGTCACGTCAGACCGACCTTGTGCAAACTTTGACAGATCAATAGAATGACCAATCAGAAGGCAGCTTTCTCGTGCTTTACGGCACTAATTTCAAATTGACAACTACACTTCGAAACATATTGTGACAAATTCTCGTTTACAAATTTAAAACCTAAACAAAAGAACATTCTGGAATGGCTAATAGATGGTCTAGATTGTATGGATTCAGTCGTTAAACCTCTAACTATCGTTCGGAATACCCTGTGTTTTCAAGGTTGTATGATTAGAAATCACATTCCGACTGTCACTTTCATGATCTGGTAAGCGACGCTCTAATTGGTCGGATGAAAGGTCATTCTGACATGCCCCTTAATGGGATGTCTTCAGATCTTTGTTTAGCGGTAGCGAGAACTAAGGTCTGATTTTAATGAGATTGACATTTTCTTAGTTTCATAGCATGTTAAATAAACATAGTTAAATTTCTCATAGTTTCTCATGTCATTACTTTACAAAATTTTGTTACCATTTGGGTTGTGGTGGAAATACCATAGTTACTTCGATATTTTGCACTTAATGCTCTTAATCATTATACACTGGACATACACATAAAAAGTGATATTCATCTTCAATAAAATCAGTTTTACAAATCCTACAAAGTCCTTGTTCTCTTGCAATACGCCTGTTTCAATAAATAGATCATGTGAGATTCAACGAAATCGAGAAAGAGCTGTTCTAAACTTATGTAAAGTTACACTTAAAAGATAAGGTTCTAGTATTATAGTAGTCTTAAATGAAGTGGAGTAATTTGCTTTTATAGAACTGGACAAGCTTCCTGTCAGTTAGATCAAAATGAAGAAGGCCACACCTTACCCACTGGCAGTCAGAGATCACAATACATTATTATGTCCTTAATGAACTGTTTGTATTCATCAAACACATAACAACCAAGGGATTTTATTTAATGTTCGCAAATTCCCACCCACATCAGGTTTCCACTTAGTAAAGTCAGAAACCCTAGTTGTAACAATCATCTTCTATCTGCAACTGGAAATTAGACACAAAAATCACTTCAACACTTGTGCATCCTCATTGAAACAGGCATGTAAACCATGATAAGAAATATGGTTGTTTCTTCAACTGTATTGGATAATGAACATGATGAAAGGACACGTGTTTCTAAACAAAAACATATGGACTCAATTTAAAAGTTTGGATTCATCACCCACATGCATTTTCATTTTTTTTAAATCTTCTCTCACAAATAATTTATTTGAAAGGATGTTCAAATCTGATGTTCACTATAATATATGAATTAAACAATCTGATTAAAGGTGAGGTGAAATGGGGTTTAACGTAGCAAACAAGAATTATACACTTATATAGCGACGTGCATGCACATGTGTGAGTAGCTGCTTGTACTAGTCCAGACTGATGCTCATATAAAGTGCTTGCCCACTGAGATACCATGCTGCAGTTAAACATGAATACCCCACTCGGACACAGTATACTGACTCCGAGCCTACCAGTCCTTGTTTATAGCCCCTTAATGCCCAGTGCCAGACAGGGTAGCAACTAGTACCATCTCTTAACGTCTTTTATTATGACGCGGCTGGAGTTCAAACGCCGAACCTTCCACTCTCCGCGCGGACGCTCTACCACTAGACCACAGAGGTGGTCCTATCTGATTTAACATTTATTTACAAACAACTCTGCCACATGCATGTTGAAGACATTCCTGTTGAAATCCCTTTAATGTTCCCAAGCATTCAAATCATGTGCAAGAAGAAGGAACACTTATTACTGTATTTGTATGGTGTTTGGTGTGTATCCAAGCATAATTGAACACCCTCTCTAGGATTTTCAGTACTTTGGAAAAAAATGTTTTTGATTATTATGCACAGTGAAAACCTACATCGTACCCTTTCAGCAAATTCAGGTGAACCAACAAGGAATAAAACTTGGTCAATAAATATGAGAAATTTGAGATAAAAGCATCAGCATTGTTGTTTTGCACTCGATCCAAAGTATGTGATGCCATGTCTGAAAACCAAGCATATCTATTTTTATGAAGAAACAATGTTTTTTCATATTCTGAGATGAATTAAAAACACATAAATTTTCATGTCATAATTATTATTTAGTATCTGGACTAAAGAAGACTGTATTAGTCTTTCCATTACAGGCCTTTAAAACAAATCAAATACCGTACATCGCCGTCTATAAAGCCACCCCACGTATAAGATGACTCCTCTGTACAAGCCTCTAAAATCAATGCTTATTTATATACCCCGTCTATAAAGTGAATCGGAATGAAGCATGTCACCAGCGCAT